TGCTCTTGCCTCCCCGGGTGGCCAAAGCCCAGAGGAGGCAAAAGACTCAGCTTAGTGGTTAGGCCTGCCTTACAAATGCCAACCTGCTGCTCAGAAAAAAAAATCTCATTTTCCTCTCTGGTCTCCCAGCAGAGGAAAAGTCTCCAATGCCCAACAATGCCTTTTTATTTTTTGAAAATGCATATTTATATATTAAAAAAAAAAAATCAATGTAAGATACCTCCAAGCCTCATTTCCCCCTAAATTTGCCAGGTATTTTGTACCACTTCCCTTATCCATGCCCTTATATCCCAAGACCAGTACCACTTTTCCTGCCTCCTCAATTTTATGTGCATAGTTCACTATTTGCCCCCTCCGAAAAACTGGAGCAGTGGCATTGACCCCATTTTCTTTACACCTGCACCCAACCCCTGGGATGTTTCCCTTTCACCACCAGCCTTCCCTTATCAGGCAGGATTTTGGACTGATGGCAATGCACCCACACACCGAGTTCACGCAGCCCTGTGCAGGGGAACTGTGCAAGTCCTGCCTTTCCCAGTTTTCCTGCCTTGTTCTCACTCATTTGTCCTGAAACAGCAAGCAGAAAAGGAGGTTCTTTTCCTGCACACAGACACACACTAAGCCACAAAAGTGTTTCAAAATGACCACACTTTAAAGGGGGATTATTTGCTTTGTGAGCTTTGGTTTCAGACTGGGAGAGAGTTTTAAGTGTATTATTTTAACAAGTCCTAACAGCATTAGAGGATTTACAGCCAGTGATTTGTACAGGAAATCCAATTATTGCTCTTCTCTTTAGTGCAAACATTACTATTAGAACATCTATTACTTTAGAACGTCCTCAGGGGCAAAACAAGAGCTGGCAGTGTCCCAGGCCAGGTTGGACGGGGCTTGGAGCAGCCTGGGCTGGTGGAAGGTGTCCCTGCCCGTGGCAGGGGGTGGGATGGGATGAGCTTTAAATCCCTTCCAACCCAAGCAGCTCTGTGATTGCACTGTGCTCGGTGGCTCAGGGGCAGGAGTCTGGTTCTGACTCTGACCATCCAGGCTGCTGTGGCACCAGGGAGCGAGGCTGCAAACCCAAAGTTATTTGCACTTCCCCCATCCCCATCAGCGGCACTCGCAGAAACCCACGGGGCAGGAGAAGTTGTGACCACGGCAGGCTCAGGGACCACCTCCCCATCCCTGGACTCACAGGCAGCAGGAGAACGTTTATGGACCGGCGCAGTGTCAATATTTGATCGATATCCAAACATTAGCCTTGCACAAACACAGGTCGTATCAAACCACCATCAAAGCACTACTTATGACCACAGATTTATCTTGAAGCCACAGACACACAAAGCCCTCGTAATTTCTTCTATTTTCTTTGGCAGCAGTACAATCCAACACCCTCTGGGTACAACACGTGCTGCTGCTTCTCCAGGGCACCATCAAACCCAAAATGTGTCGGCCACAGCAAGGAAAAAGTGGCAACACCAGAGTCCAGAGACACCCAAGCCCAAGGGATGGGGCTACAGAAACCTCATTCATGCCCAAATTTTTTTTTTTAAAAAGGTTTTTTCACCTGATATCAGCTTTGGAATTATGCCCAAGTTGGTTTTTATATCTATAAATATAAAAACACACAGGCTCTTCACTCCACTATAAATTCCTTTTCAGTCTCTAGCAGGGCATGCTCAGGCTGCTGAAGCACAGGATTGTTCTTTGAAACCGCTCAGACTCAAACTGAGTTGTTCATAAGCACAGAGCACAGCAGCATCGCAGCACACAGGTTTATTCTGGGGGAAAATGGAGCACAATGACGTTTATGCAGCTCTGCTGAGTTGTGAGGGTGTTTAACACAATCTCACGGCTCTTTGTACAGCTCTTTGTACACACACAGCCCCTTTCCCAACGACCCACACGTGTCCCTCTAAGTCTGTAGGTGGCTTGGGACAATTCAAAGGCGTTTTAGCCACATCCCACTTCTTCCCCCATTTCCAGCACACCCTCCAGTGACCACCACGCCAAAGGTCTGCACGTGACCTACTGAGTTGTGTGAGAAACACCCACAGCCCCTGGGAACAAGGACTTACAGAGCAGGCTCCAGCTCCATCCCACACCTCCAGACACGTGGATCCACAGAGCCCTCTCCCCTCCGGCAGAGCAGTGTTTTGGGAGGCACATCTGTATCCATGGCTCCGTGGCTGTATCCATGGCTCCGTGGCTGTATCCATGGCTCCGTGGCTGTATCCATCCGGCCTCCCGAAGGGAGAAGCTCGGGAGAGCCACTGCTGTCCCTGCCCCTGCATGGCAGACACCTCCAGGCAAGCCCCTCCCTCTGTGCTCTGTCCACAGCTGGGTCTCCCCTCAGGACCTGATTGGCCTCACCTGTGGCTCAGCTCCCCAGGGCTCAGCTCCCTGAACTGCACAGGTCCAGCCCAACTGCCCAACCTTGATTAAAACACCTGGGAAAACGGCCAGGGAGAGAGAGTCACACGGGCTAAGAAGGAGAAAGGAGGAGATGTGGTCGAGATGGAGCCACTCCCAGCTGAAGGGTTCAGAGGAAAATGAGTGGGGAGTGCTGAGGGGACAGTCCTGGCACTGGAAACATCCCTGAGGTGCCCTTCCCAGGTACGGCGTTTCTCCTTCTTGCCAACTCTCTGAGCTCTATACAAGTTGCCCAAGCCATTGAAACCCCAGGAACGCTCAAGGAAAGCCCAGTGTTAAACCAAAACCTTTTCTCCTTCAAAACCTGAGGGAACAAGTGACCTCTCCCTGCCCATCAAGAGGTCCTGGGCTGTGCTGCTGCTCCTCCTGGAATCCAAGGTGTTTTGAATGGCTTCATTCCCATGCTAATGGACAGCTCCTGATCCCCAGCCACAGCCGGCAGGGCTGGGCACGGCGGGAGATTTGCCATTAACCCCTCTCTGGGCATCCTGGGAAATGTCTTGCAGCACTTCCAGGGAAAGCTGGAGGATTGCCCCACACACACACTTAGGAGTGTTGTGGTAATGACTAAATAACACGAAGCGGTGTCATCCACTCAGGTGTCATTTTTCTTGAGCTGGAAGTGCTTTTCCAGAGCAAAAGTGTCCCAGCTGCTGTTCCTGCACAACACGAGGGCCTTCAAAAAACTGTGCTGGAATTCCAGTGGTTTTCCATAGGGCCCCCAGGCCCGCATGTGTTGTCATTCTTCCCTCACATCTGCGGGTCGATCCAGTGGAAGCACAGCTGGTTTCTGCCCCAAAATGGGGCTCTCCATCCCAGACTGTTGTATTTACACACCTCACCTCACTGGCCACCTGCATTTTGTCCAAGATCCTCTCCAGCACCCCTATCCAGCCTCGCTCACACACCACCAGGTGCTTCTCAGGGAACACCTCTCGTTGCTCTCTTTCCCCCAGAGAGACTTTTTCAATACTCTTTTTCAGTGGGGGGATCCCATGAAGATGCAGGATGTTCCTTTTAAGGAGGTGAGTTGCTCCTCCCACTGCCACAGTTTCAGGGCAGCAGCATTTTAATTGGCCACCGGATTGTTTCAGTTCATCTCCCTGCAGAGCCTGGATGTGGCAAGTTGGCCACGTCCAGCCTGAAATCACATTCACCAAGGATCAAATCTCAGCAATCCTCATGAAAGATGAGATAGAATGGCACGCTAAAGACAGGGAAATCCCTTTGATAGGGAAAAAAATCCCATGTTACATCTGCCTGTCACTCCCAAGCTCCACCCAGGGGTTCAGGAGAAGCAGCAGATCCCAAAGCATCTCTGGGTTCTGTGCTCAGTGGGAGTGGTCATAACTGGTGTGTGTGGGACCATGCTTTGGTCTTTTTTCTTCCTTGAATATGCTCCAAAATCTGCATTTGAACCCCTGAATTCTGCAGAAAGGGAGAGCAGATGTTTCCTTGGGAGCAATCATGGTTTTTTGGGGCAGGAAATGGGAGCAGGAGCTCCATGAGACAGCAGAGCAAGGAGAGAGATGCTGCTCACCTTGAGGGAGCAAATTATCCACCCCCCATTATCCACCCCTCCCAGGAGTACCCAGTGCTTTTAAAGCTGAGCAAACACAGGGATGGCACTTCTCCAAGCCTGAGGTGTCAGCAACACCTGACCAGAAATGCTTCATTTAACGTGCCTCAAAACTGCCTTTAGTGTGATCCCACACCAGTGCAGTGGAGTCAGCTCTGGGCCTGGCAAACCCTGGGACACACTATTATGGTGCAGCCCTGAGGGGAGAGGGAGCCACGGCAGGATGCAGGCACAGGGATGGATCCCTATCCCGGGATACGAAACTCGCACATCACAGGGGGAGAATTGTTTAGTGGTGAACATGGTGGTGGTGGTGCTGCATTGATGGTTGGACTCGATGTTCGTTAAGGTCTTTTCCAACCTTAACAATTCTATACTTGTATGGAATTGCCCTCTGTGTTACCCATTTCGTTGCTCTCAGGGCGCAGAAGGATTTTAGGAAGAGGCAGACGTTCAGTTCAGCTGTTGCACCAACAGATGTGCCACGATACCTCAAGGACCGTAAAGCCAGGATGCTCAGAGGCTGCCACACCTGGATGCCACCGATGGCAGAGATCCCGTGGCTGCTGAATTTATTCCCAGCCTTTTCCAGGTGCCACAAACCCTCTCCAAAATGTGTACTGGTTTCCTTTGCCTTGGGTGAGGTTCTCACAGCGATTTCTGCAAACCCACCAGCAAGAGGATTTCTTGCTCTTGCCATCTTCCTCCAGCAGCCCAAAAGCCCCTGTTGAAGCCGGGATGGCACAGGGCTGTGTCCCTTCTCCCAGGATCTCTGCTGAGGGTGGATCCGCTGGGAAAGGCGTGGTGCCAAAATGGTAGTGCAGGGCCAGCCCTTAGGCTGGATCTGACTTGAATCCTTTGGATTTATTTACCAAAACCTGGGCCTGGGGAGGTGCCGTGGGGCAGCGCTGACCCAGCTCTCTGGTCAAAGGCCTGCGGGGAGCCGGGAGATAGAGCGGGTTAACGTTTAACCGCGGGCACTGTAAACCAGCCCCGGGGCTGCTGAACCTTTGGAGTTTGATATGATGATTGGGGAATAACCGGAGTGACACGTCGCAAACCCTCCATAATCAAGGAGACCTTTTTCCCGGGTGGTGATCTCCAAAATTGCTCAGGTGCGTGGCTGCGCGTTCCGCCCGCGGCTTTTGGGGTGCGGGCACCGGGTCCCCTGCGGGACGGGGCTGTTGGCAGGGACGGGGAGGGAGCGGCTCCACCGTGTGCCTTCCAGCCCCTGGCAGTGCCCCGCCGTCAGATCCGTACCTGGGGGGCTGCCTGACACCAGCAGGGCCGGACTGGGGGGCCGGGCAGCCCTACACGGTGTGGCCGGACCCTCACCCCGGCACAGCCCCGCACCGCTCGCTGCGCTCTTGTCTGATCGAGATGGGCAGAGCGGGGATCCCTGCGGGGCTCGGCACAGCTCCTGCCTGGCAGCAGCGCCAAAGAGCTTTTTTTCCCCCCTGCTTTCCTCCCTCTGACCGCCGGCGGTTGCCAGAAGAGCGAAGGCAGACGAGGCGGAGAGGGGAGGAGGGGTTTTCCCCGCCGCAATTCGGTCTCGATCTGTTAAAGCGCAACTTTCTGGGGCTAATCATTGGAGATGTTCCCAGCCGACTTCTTACTCCTCCTCCTCCTCCTCTTTGCAAAAGGTCAGTCCCCGCAGCGAAGGCGATCGCTGATCCCAAGAAACCCTCAGTTTTCCCCAATCCCTTCAAACCAGCGGGCTTTCTGCCCCACGCAGAACGCCGGCCTTAAGCTCTTTCCCCCGTGAAACAGCAGCTCTGGGTGGGAGCAGGCACGGCAGCAGGGCTGGTTTCGAGGTACCTGCCACATGATGCTGCAAATAAAACGGGAGGGAAGGAGGCTGGGCTGGGCATCAGGTGCCCTTCATCCTCAGAGAGGGCTTTTGGGGGCGTTTCGTGTGCGTTTGGTGACAAAGCTGTGCACAAGAGGAAAGGTGTTTCCAGGAGGGAAGGTGAATCCCAAGGAAAAGGGGCTGAGCGAAGAATCTGCTGGTTTACCTGTGAAATGTTTTCTCAAGGCCCGTGTGCTGCGAGGGGTGAAGCGCTTTCACATTGCTTCTGCTTTATCCTGCCTTCCTTTCCTGCAAGTGCCTGTGAGTTCCCGCTTTCTGTGGAGCCACCCGAGCTGGAAAACAACCCCCTGCCCAGGAAAAGCAGAGGGACAAAAGCCTCTTGCCCCGTTGCTCAATCAGACCCCGTCCTGCAGCGTCTCACAGCAGCAAAGAGCTGGGGGCAGCTCATGAAGCTTCAAGTGTCTGTTTGGGGAAGAAAATTATAGATGTTTAGTGTTTATATATGTATATAAATGAATATATATTGCTTAGAGCATGGAGGGAGGCAAAAAAATCCTCAAAACCTTGATAACCTAAAGGAAAATAGTATCTTATGGGTGAAAAGTGAATATAATTATCCAGTGTTTCCAGAGGTTGTTATTCCTCATGAGCAGCCATTGCACCAGTGGGGGTGCCAGCACAAAACAGGCTTCATGAGACGTGTCCGAGTGACTCAACACATTCAGACACCAAGGGGTATCGATCCCCGCAGGATAAACATGGTTTCGTTATCTCATTCATGGAAACAGTAACCAGGTTTCCCCGAAAAGGGCTGCCAAGGGGCAGCCCTGGCCTCAAATACCACCTCTCCTCCCCTCAGCAAAAATCCTGGCATGGGATTGCACATTTTGGGGGTCAGGGCTGGATTCATCTGGCTCCGGGATGGACGGAGCAAAGCCGGGGGATCTGCCTGTGGCACCTGGGGAGGAAACCGTGTGTGCAGGTAACCACGGAGAGGTGAAGCAGCATCACAATAGTTGTGTTTCTCCTCGGTGTGAGGTTTGCAAGGCATAAAAGTGCCTTGGCATTTTAGAGCTTTAGTAGAAACCTAAAATAAATGAGAGTGTTCAGTGGAGAGAGGAAAATCAAGCTCAGTGATGCTCTGATTTAAGGTAAAAGCAGTTCCTTCCTTTTCTAGCAGCACGGGGTTCTTGATTCTGTGACCGTGACAAATTGGTAGCGCTGTCAAAATTTCATCAAATTCGAAGGTGAAACAGGAAACTCCCGGACAATTTGCACTTCCAAAGGTGTTAATTTCAATACAAACATCTGAACAAAATGCAACCTCCCCTCCCTGCATTTTTTTTTGTTTTCTGTTTAGCACGGTGGCCCTTCCTGATAACAATCCATTTTAAGGGCAAGCCTCTGAAATTGGTTGAATTCCAGAACGATTATTTCTACTGAGTGTGCTTGGCTTGATTCTTTTTATAAAACAGTGTTAAAAACACTGCCTTAATTTGCTGCAGTCGTTCACACTTTCCACCAGCAGTCATGCAAGGGGGGTTTTCCCCACTGTGAGGGTGGATTTGCTAATTGATTCATGGCCCAGGGAACAAAGAAGGGTAGAAAGCAGTCGTGTTTCCCCAGGGTGACAGCAGTTCTTCTCCCTTATCCTTAAGATTAAAAAAAAAAAAATCCCAGTACACTGACACCACTGCGAGGCCTGGAATAAAGGGAAAGTGCTGAAATCCCACCAGTTTCAGAAATAAAACATCCCACCATCCTGGAAACAGTCTGGAAGCACTGCTGGGCAAGTGGAGAGGTGGCCCTTAGGGACGTGGCTTGGTGCTGGACCTGGCAGTGATGGGGAACGGTTGGACTCGGTCATCTTGGAGGGCTTTTCCAATCTGAACGATCCCGTGATTCTGTGATACGGGTGAAAGAGGTGGAAAAGTGCCCTGCTCAGAAAGGGGTTTAGATGTCCCTGGGGAGGGGAGGTAGGAGGGAAGGGGAGAGCAGAAGCACTTGGAATACTGGGGGTGAAAATCCTGCTTTGCCGTGCTCGGGGAGTTGTACCCCTTGAAAAAAGAGAGGCATGTTTGCTGTTTCCATCCCAGAAAAACCCCGCTGATGGAGGAAAGCTCTTCAGCAGCGAGGCTCATAAATTACTTGTGGATGACTTTGGGCTGGTAATTAGCAGGAGTGACCTAATTTCTGAGAGCGGTGCTCCAAACCTGCTCCCGAGCGGCTGTCCGTGTGCGTGTCCGAGCGTGCAGCCGTGTCCAGCCTGGCCTCCTCTTGCAGGACGAGTGGAGGCTCGCAGGGTAACTCAGGCTGGAGGTTCCCTGGGCTGGGGGTGTCCCGCTGGACCCCACTTGCAGCAGGGCTGACGCCGTAGGTGCGGCGGGCAGGGGGGCCCATCCCTGGGGATGGGGATCCTGCACCTCTTGCTCGGGAAGGGCCGCTTCCCTGGGTCAGGCTGGCCTTTCTCCTGGAGCCCATGGAAGCACCAGGCACAGATTAAGGCCAGAGCATCGTTTGCACCCCCCCCCCCCAAAGGTGCCACATTTTGCAGAGGCTGTGATTAAAACTTCGTGCAACCTTGAGTGCTCTTGCTCCCTTATTCCTCAAGGGTTGCTGGAGCGTGTCCTGGAGCACTCCAATGTCTAGACACGCCGGTCTAGAGCCTGAAATGTTTGCAGGATGCCTTGTGAGAAGAGCCCAGGAGCTCTCCTGTCTGATCCAATAAGGCAGGAGCCAAAGAGGAGTGTTGCTCCTGCTGCAAATGCATCAGCCAGGGAGATGCTCTGTTCCCACCCCTGCCCAGCCCTGCAGCCTGTGCTCAGTGCTCAGCGTGAAACCATCCCCGGGAGCGGGGTGTTACTGGAAATCACTGCTCCCCGGGGAAGAGCGATGGAGATGTCTGGCGTTTCAGGCTCCACGTGCAAATGCATTCCAGGCAGCAGCCGTGCAGGCACCCCAGCCTGCAAGTGCCGCGTGGAACGGTGCAATTTGAGGGGGGAGGGAGGAGGAAAAAGGCTCTTGCACTCCTCATCTATGTAGGTCACGGCTGGGGGCAGCCTGGGAAGCTCACCCGCCGCGGAAAGCCGCCGAGGTTTGCCTGGCTGCGGTCCAGCCGCTTTCCCGGCACGGGGAGGATGCTGCGCCTGCGGCTGCGGGCATCCCGCTGCTTGCCTTCCCTGCGCTTATCCCGCTGCCTTCCCTGCGCTTATCCCGCTGCCTTCCTTCCCTGCGCTCATCCCGCTGCCTTCCCTGCGCTTATCCCGCTGCCTTCCTTCCCTGCGCTTATCCCGCTGCCTTCCCTGCGCTCCGGCTGCCGGGGCAGCCTCCGGGGCGGCACTCGGGTGATGCACCCGGGACAGAAGGGAAAATCTGCCTAAATTCAAGAGAAACCTGCACGGGAGAGCGGCCCCTTTTCAGCCCCAGCCTTGCGGTGCGTGAGGATAGAAGGGGCCAAATGTGCGGCTTTGCTCCAGAGGGCGCATTGAGGGTGCGTCTGCCCAGGCAGGGCAGGATGCAAAACCAACCTGGATTTTAACTGAGTATTTTTTAATGATCACTTTCTCCTCCTTAAGCAGGCTGGGAAAGGATCCAGCTGGTTTGTGCACGGCAGTGTGCTAATCCTGCCCCGTGCCTGTGCTAATCCTGCCCCGTGCCGTGCCGGCTCCGGAGGAGGTGGCAGGCACAGGTACCACAAGCACTGATGGGGTTCTGCTGCCACCCTCAGCGAGGGCAGAACAAACCTGTAACCGGGCTGCAGAACACACCCATTTGGGAATTAGGGACAGGAGAGAGCTATTGCAGTGGGCCATTCGCCTGCCAGCCCCGGCACACTGGTGGTAATCAAAACACCAGAGAACCTGGGAGCATGGGAAAAAAACTAAAGTAAAATCAGAAGGATCTCGCAAAGCTCCACAATCAATAGCTCCAAAATCTGGCCTTTCAGAGGTGTCTCTGTTTCCAAGTATTGGAGTCACAGCCTCTGGAGCTCAGCGTGGCGGGGCCCAAGTGACACAAGGCTGAGATCCTCCAAACAACCATTTCTGGCACTGAGAATAATCCACCTCCTTAAATTTAGAGCACCTGCTGAAGTCCTCCAGGATCCAAAGCCATAGCAGCACAGAGCAAGGGATGTCCAGAGGCACAGTGGCCTGCCCCAAACCTCACCTTTCCCCTCAGGGAGCCCCAAAAGCAGCATGTGCTCATGGAAGTGTTTGGTGTGAAACAGCTGCTTCCTGGAAAAGGGTTTTCCTGTTATTCCCACAGCACCGTGGCACACTCAGGAATTCTGCCACAGCTGGATGTATTGCACTCTTTACCTGCATTTCTTTTTGTGCAGTGCCCATGATGTGTGCACCAAGAGAGCTGCTGTACAGTGGGATTCTTTAGTGCCTTTCCCCTAAAACGTGGCATTAGCTCAGGGTGCAGCCACAGCAATCCACCTTCCTTCCACATTTCTGTCTCTCTGGATTTCCACAGTATCCCCCTCACCATCCCATGCCCTTCCCCATCCCTGTGCCACGAGGTTAACTTAGAAAAAAAAAAAAATCTAAAATTAGCTCTATGAGCTAAAACTACAGCTCTGAATCAAAACATCTGAACCCAAGCCCCGGACCCAGATAAGATCTGAAGTTCTCCCATGTTCTTTATTTTGAAAAATGAAAATAGGCCAAATTTGGACCCATGGCTTGTTTTTCATACAGGGCTTGGGCATGGCTGGTAGGAGGTTCCCTTTCCAGTGTCAACACCGTGCAGTGACCTGAAGGACTCACTGTCACGTACTCAGGGCAGGACTAAGCATCTGACACATTCTCCCCTCCTAAGACACGTGCACTACTGGTAGGTTACAAATCCCCCCTGCATCTCACTGGAGCACTATCCAAATCCTGACTGGGGGTTAAAATGCTGTTTACTTTCATGCTCAGGAGGGATACTTTGGTACTTTTTCCCCCATTGTCCCTGTTGTTTTGTGCTGTTTTTATCTCAGAAATAACTGGTTTAGGAAGAACGACCCTGTTGACTTTCTCAGGAGGGTGGACTTTCTCCTCCGAGCCGTATTAATTGATTTAATTTATCTTAAATTTGATTGCAGTGAGCACCCCTAATTAACCTGATTTTTTGCTGATAATCACTCACAATGGAATCAAATCACAAATCCGGGGATGGATTGACCGGCACACAGAAAGAAGCCGCCCTCCGTGCCTTAATTCAGCGAACGGGATATAATTTGATCCAGGTAGGAATTCATGGTCCCATCCTTTCGTGTGCAGTGTCCAGCTTCATCCTGGAGCTTCAGCAGGGGCTGGAGCAGCAAATCTGCACAGGAGGTGCTCCTGGCTCCTTCCTTTTCCCTCTGTTTTTCTCTGACACCTCTGCTGACCTTCACCACATGGAATAGATGCTGTCTGTCGTGAAGCAGGGTCTTATTCCTCCAGGAATTCATTATTAATGAAAGATTAGGGTTCAAAAAATTATGGTGAAAACCCCAACCCTGAGCACTGCTAAGTGCAGGCTGGGATTGGTGTCTCAGAGCCAGGCTGCAGGGGTAGTTTAGCAAAGCAGACCCACCAGACAAAGCCTCAGAAGAGCATGGTGGGACTGAGCTGGGAAGTCCAGCACGTCACCACCGGGTCAGCCTTTTGCTCAAACACACGTGAGGCAGGTGCTTCAGCTGCCCAGACACCAAAGGTCTGCTCCCAGTGTTAGCCCTCAAGGCCTCTTGTGGTGGCCCCCAAGGTGGAGCCTGGGCATGTCCTTCCAAACCCCCCTGAAGAAGCGTTTCTCGATTGACACCACCAAAACAAGCTGATTTTTTGAAACCACTGGGCACTGCTATGACTGACTTTGCATCCTGGAAGAAGCAGCTGAAAACACTGAATTTTAGGCAGGCGGAGGCCTTGAACTTTGCCTTGCTTTGCGTAGCACTAGAGGGCACAACAGCCCAAAGCAAAACCTGAGATTCCTGGGAAAAAGCGTTTTCCTGGAGCCCTCAATCCTGTGTGCCCCAGGACCAGGCCAGCAGCTGTGTTTGTTGCCCTAGAGGTGGCTTTTTGCTGTACCTGACCCAGAAGATAAATGACTTCTCTATGTCTTATATTTGATGTGGCTTTCTTAGATCCACAGAATCCCAGACTGGTTTGGGCTGGAAAGGACCTTAAAGCTCCTCTCATCCCACGCCCTGCCATGGGCAGGGACACCTTCCCCTGCATGCCCACCTTTCCCACTCTGTTAGCTCTTTCAGAGCTCCTGATGCCTTCTGATTTTGGAAAGTCCTTCTGCTTTCAAACACAACCCTTCCAGTACCTTCCCTTTGGTCTGTGGAGCAGGAAGCTCTCCATCAGTCACCGAAATAAGAGGTGATTTCACTGTTAATAAATGTTCATGATCGGACAAAGAATCATGACAGATTATAAATGTTACAAGTGTTCTGTTCCACAGTCCACAACCAACACACAGCCAGCCCACTGAGATTCCCCTCCCAGAGCCAGGGAGACATTTTCCAGGGAGTTATCTGACCCTCTCCATCTTGCACACCCAAAGCAGCAAACCACACACCCCTCCCCACCCCAGCACATCCCCAGCAGCCTGGCTGGGTTATCCAGGCACAGGTTTGGCAGTGGGACAGCCGTTCCACACCACGTTAACTCCCAGGAGCCTGTGAAGAGGTGTGTGCCTCCAGCGACTCTCAAGTGCCATTCCCCAAGAAGGGATCCATGTTTAAAAATCCACATCTAAATGTATCTAATCCACGTCTCTCCTTCCTCCCCACGGCAGGAAAATGGGCAGAGGAAATACGGAGGACCCCCACCGGGCTGGGATGGGCCTCCCCCGGAGAGGGGCTGCGAGATCTTCATTGGGAAGCTGCCCCGAGACCTCTTTGAGGATGAACTTGTCCCACTCTGCGAGAAGGTGGGACCTCCTGGAGGGGGGAGGGATGGGATGAGCTTGAAGGTCCCTTCCAACCCAGAGCAGTCTGTGAGTCTGTGGCAAACCTCTTCCTTTCTTGTTTGCAGATTGGCAAGATCTACGAAATGAGAATGATGATGGACTTCAACGGTAACAACAGGGGCTATGCCTTTGTGACCTTCTCGACCAAACAGGAGGCGAAGAACGCCATAAAGACCCTCAACAATTACGAAATCAGGTAGGCCTGGCAAACACCCTCACGTCAGCTTTAAACCATGCACATCTCTTGTGGTGTGGAAGGTGTGCTCTTCCTCGCTGCCCAGAGCAAGGTTGTTTAGATACCTGAGCTTTGAGAGGAGATCTATTCTTGTCTCCCTGTGCAGTTGTTGCTTTACACCCTGGTACGAAGCACTCTTCAGAGTCAACATCTTTTGCAGGAAATTTCTTGCAAAACAGCAACAGCAACAAAAAAATCCATCAGGACATTTGGGAAAAAAAAATAATATTTTGATTTGGATCAAATTAACTTTCCTCCAACCCTTGCTGTTTGTTTCACGCTCCCCTCCGGGCTGTGTGTTGTTGATTTATTCCTATTCACAGCCTCTCTCGTGACAGATACCGTGGGTATGTGCTGGGAGACAGAGCAATTGCAAAAAAAATGCTGAAATAGGATGGAAACCAACTGGCAGAACAGTGACATTTCCTAATAGAAAGGAACAGAAAAAGCCCTCATGTTTGTGACTGAAAATTGGGAACAAAACACCCAGAAATCAACAACATATGGGCCCATCAATGTGTTTTGTTTTGATTTCAACCACACTTACTGTTTTTTTCCAGTTCAAAGTGGGATGAGTAGATGCCTTTGCTTAAAAGGCATCTTTTGAGATAAACCAGTCTGGCAAATTTATGGCTTTCACTTTGGTTTTTAATAAAAAAAAAGATGGGTTGTGAACTGCTTTACCAGCAACCCTAGGGATGAGCAGATCACAGGGCACAGAGAGGGCTTGGAAATGTGATTTTTATCAGAGGCTGGAAGGTCTTAGGGATCAGGCTTCATCCACCTCCACCTCCTCCACTCCCTTCCCTTGTTCCAAAGGCTCCTCTAAATAAGGTTTTGACCTCACAAGACCTGTAAGAGGTACTTTGACCACAAAGAGGTGAACAGAGTGCGTGTAAGGAAGTTTTTACTTTGAAATCTGCACAACAGTTGCCATCAGTGAGTCCCCAAAGGGTGTCTCTCCGTGACCAGGGATTTTCTTTCCCCAAATCCTCAGCTGTGAGGCCCAGACATGAGTGGGAAGCCACAAGTCACTGGTGAAGGCAAGAGATCTTGGCTCATAGTGGGTGACAGCAGAAGGGTGAGTGCTGTGACCCTGGGTGTGGGCACAGCTGCCTGGCTTTTTGCAGGGAGCGAAAGGGAGAATCCCGGGAGGCAGAAGCAGGATCTGGCTCTGGTTTCCCCCCGCTCTCCAATCCTTCCTTTCAGCTGCGCTGCCTGACCTCGATGTCAGCCCCAGCAGCGTGGCAGCCTCCACCTCAGCTTCTGCACCGAGCAGGACCACTGCAGTATCCAAATGTCCCTCTGTCTGCCCCTGACCAACCAGCAGTGTTGTTTGTGCCCAGGAACGGGCGGCTCCTGGGGGTCTGTGCCAGCGTGGACAACTGCCGCCTCTTCGTGGGGGGCATCCCCAAGACCAAGAAGCGGGAGGAGATTCTGGCAGAGATGAAGAAGGTGACGGACGGCGTGGTGGACGTCATCGTGTACCCCAGCGCCGCCGACAAGAGCAAGAACAGGGGCTTTGCCTTCGTGGAGTACGAGAGCCACCGGGCAGCAGCCATGGCCAGGAGGAAGCTGCTCCCAGGTCAGCTCAGCTGGGCCTGCTGGGAGGGACGGGTTTGGCTCGGGGGGGCACCTGGTGCTGTGCAGGGTGGGCAGTCCCGTGCTGATTGTCCGTGCCTGCCGTGTCACTGAGGAGCTTGAGTTTATGGAAATAACACCCCGGTGGATTTTGGCTGCGTGGATGCAGACAGCTCTGCTGGAGGATGGGTTTTATATAATATAATTTAATATAAAATATAATTTAATATAACCCTGTGGTTATATTTGGGTTACACATAAAGTACAGCCTCTGTTATGGCCTCTTGAAGGGAATCGCCCAGGAAAGCATCCGGGAACAGACTCAGTCTTGAGAAAGCACTGGGGATGCTCCCCAAAATAGGTTATTTTCCACGTGGGAAGAAAACTTTGAATGAGGAATTGCTTTAAACAATATTAAGAACAAGTCTATGAAATGCTGGGGGAAAGTCAAAGGCCAGTGTGAAGCAGAGAGGGGTTTAGCATGTATTAGATGAACAATTCACTTAACATTCAGTGCATTTGTGGGAATTTCACCACTTTCCTCTTGCTTTCTTCCTCCAACAGCTTCTACACTGCTTTGTTTGAACCCAGCTCACTTGCTGGGGAAAGCATCCAAAAAACCTTCTGGTTTGAGACTTGTTCATAAAGCCCACTAGCCTTCTTTCACCTGCTCTGTGTGACGGCCCACGAAACATCCTCCATAATTTAAACCCTTTTTACTTCCTGTGGGAAAAAAAATCCTCTGTGTCCAGAGGATGCACTGGACGGATGTGAGGTGGAATATCCTCCTCTAGACACTTCCTTTAACCTGAGCCTCGCTGCCTTTGCAGGTCCCCAGGGGGCGGAGGGTTGAGCCTGGGGGAGTGGAGTCACCCCAGGCTGTGTCCCCCCAGGTCTCCTTGCCAGCCGGGGGAACACAGGAGGTGAAGAAACCATCGCTCCCGAGGTCCCTCTGCCCTGCCCGGGGTGCTGCTCACCCCTCCCGTTCCCACAGCTCTGGGACAAGGCTGGGGCAGTCCCTCCTGGTTACATATTAAACCTCACTAATTGACTAATCAGCTACTTAAGGGATTAGGTGGCTCAGGGCAAACGATTATGGACCTCGGTGCGATAAGGACAGACATCACCACCTCTTTATCTGCTCTTTGTGTTCTCTGCCCCTCAGCAGCTCATCCACAGCTTGGAGAGCCCGCGGGCTTATCCTCCACACCCCATTTGCCTCATTGCTTTTTGTGTCCCTCCTTTCTTCTGCTGCAGCTTCACCCAAAGTGGGGCCCAAACGAGTTCAAACACACACAGAGACGTCCTTGCTTCTGCTGTCGCGTTTCAGCCAGCCAGGATTTCAGGATCCCTTTTTGTGCTACCGAGGGAACGAAACTTTTGCAGCCAAAAAGGGGTTTTTATTCGTTTCCCTGTCAGGGAGCGCTCGAGGGACTGTGAAATTTAGTGAATTATGCCGTGTTTCCATTTCTTTCAATCCTGGATGCTGCATTTCTGCAGGCACCTGAGCTCTTGGTGGGAGCAGGCTTCCAAGTGTGACCATCTGCTTTTGGAAATGAGTTAATGAAGCAGGAGTGCTCGGAGCTAGAAAGGCTTTTTTTTTTTTCCGGTTGTGTTTGGAGAATTTGGCCTGCTCTGCTGCTCACACTGCACACGAAACAGTGTGTGAGCAGAAGTGAGAGCAAGCAAAACCTGTGTGACACACTGCCCGTGCCAATCCCTTTAAAGGCAGGATCCAGCTCTGGGGACACCCCATCGCCGTGGACTGGGCAGAGCCAGAGGTGGAGGTGGATGAAGACACCATGTCATCAGTCAAAATCCTCTACGTGAGGAACCTCATGCTCTCCACCACCGAGGAGACCATAGAAAAGGAGTTCAACAGCATCAAACCAGGTAGGAGCCCCCTGATGCCGCAGCTCCTGAGGAAACGCCACTTCTGCCAGTGGAAATGTTTCTCTGGTCGTCAGATGCCAAAGGGGGAGATAAAAATAGCTGTTTCTCTGCCGTGAAATGTTCCTGTGTAATGCCACAAAAATGGTCATTAGGCTGAAGGCTCCCACCCAACTTGCACACCGTGCCATGCCATTAAGGGCAGCTTATTTTCCAGCTAACGACACTGCTAACCTTTTTAGGGTGATTGGCGACTGGAAGAGATCCAAAATGCTGCATGGGGATGCCTGTGTCATAAAAATGATTTGGAATCGTTTCAGTTCTCTCTTTAAAAAAAGGGGAGAGTTGGTGAAGCAGCTGGGTGATTTCAGCATTCTTCTATGGCGAGGAATGATAAAACCAGCGTGATTTAAAACAAATCCTTTTAATCTAATCTATCTAAATTCTGAACTCTGTAATACATTCATTCATCCCCCCCACCAATTCTCCTGTAAATTTGTGAATAATCAGCATTTATCTTTTAACAGAGTATTCCTTCGTGGCGTATATTACATGCACTAAGGGTGAGGCTTTTCAAAAAGCAAGGAGATTTGTTGGGGATAAAAATCCTGCTGGCTTTCAAAGGAGATTTTACTTCTGAGTAGCTCCAGCTTTAGGAAATTCCACCCAAAACCAACAAAGTAAAAATAACCCATTTCTGCAGCTCTCCAAGCCACACAGTCCATTAGGCATTAGGAACTTTTGCTTGGCAATGTGAAATCTCCTTTCATCTCGTTCCTATTAACTTCCTTCTATTAATTTTTTAAAGCACACTACAGAGCTTCAGTTTTCCTTCACTGACTTTTCATTTCTGCTCTCTACATGCCTTTCACCGTGTCAGGCTGCAGTGCAAAGCTCTTTACGAGGTTTTCTTACGTCCTTCCAGCATTTCTGCCTGATGCTTTCAGCCTCCCTCAAGCTGTTGGAGACCCCATTTTACCCCTGAGTGAAATTTATGTCATCACACTCTCCTAACTGTTTCCTTCTTTTATTTACCCGGTTTTGCTGCTGAGCACTGAACAGCTCACACTCCCCTGAGACACATTTATGCCCCTTTGACACTTTGGTAGCAGTCATCTGCTTTGCTCCTGAGGCGAGTTTTCCAGTTTTGTATCATCTTTAATTTTCACTTTATCATTTCAGTGCTCGTGTTGGAATTTTTTTTTTTTTTTTTAATGGACAGCTTTAATTTTGGTGGATAAAACCAGGAATGGGTACATCAGATCAGCAAAACTTTCAGCTTTGGGGAAAGCAAATGCAGTTTTAGTGGGATCAAAAAAGGCAGCAAGGATCTGAAATGATTTCCTCCCCCGGCTTGGTTCTCTGCCTCACTCACTGAGCCACATTTCAGCACCACTCACCTGAGGGTACATTTGATCCAGGGCGTTAAGAAGCTGGTTTGACATTACAAAGCCATCCAACAAAAGATGGTCCACAGGAGTTATGATCCACAGGTTCCTGTGACAGAGCAATTCCCACATCTGTGGCTCCACAGACACGACCAGGAACTGCTTGTGCATCTTAAACTGTGATCTAGTAGAAGTATCACCACTTAAATCTGTCCCAAATTCAGTGCTTGGTGACTTCTGTAGAGATCCACATCTCACTGAAGAGCCTTGCCCTTGCTCCCTAGGGATTCTGGCCAAATTCCTGGTCCCTGGTGAAGTTCCCAGCAGGCAGCTTGTGCTCTCCCCGTGTTCTGAGGGGGGCAGTGCTCCCCCTCGAACATTCCATGGGTGTTCTCTCCAAGGGGGGGTACCACATGGCTTTGCACCAGCTGAGGCAGAAGCAGGGAAGAGCAAACTTTTGGTAGGTAGTGTCCAACAGAGCATTTTGGACAGGAGAAAACCACTCCAGTTTAAAGAGAAACTGGTGTCTGCTCCCAAACACTTCTAGTGTGTCTTGAAATACTTTAACCATTCTATATGTACTGTCCTGTGCCATGGACCTCCTAAGAGGAATCCTCTTGTTCTTGTTCTTTGACCCTGTGCTCTGCCAGGGCTCATAACCCGACACAGCTGCTCTTTCAGGCCTGTATTCTCCAAGGAATACCCATTTCCTACTAAATTCCAATGTTTTCTCCAGGTGCGGTGGAGAGAGTGAAGAAAATCAGAGACTACGCCTTCGTGCACTTCAGTAAGAGAGAACACGCCGTGGAAGCTATGAAAGCATTGAATGGGAAGGTAAATACTAATTCCTGGAGCTTGGGTGCATCATATTAGACACAGCTGGAACAAAGCCTCCTGCTTTAGCACCTACAAACCCTTCTGGAGGTGTTATCCCTGTTCTCTCTTTGCAGGCTGCTTTTGTGCTCCTGAACCTGTCTTTCCCTGCAGCTCTCGATGTACACAAACTATTCATTTTGGCTCCCTGTGTTCGTGCTAAACGTTTGCCCAGCTCAGACTCCAGTTCACTGCTCAGAAAAAGGGGTGGGTGGGGGAGTAAAGCAGAGAAAGCTGAAAGAAGAACTAGCAAAGGAGGGGGTTTGGGGGTTTGGGCTGCCTTGGCTCACACTGAGGTCCTTGTTCCGCGTCTGCCAAGGAAAACACTGGCAGGGCAGCGTGTGAATGGCAGGGCAGGACGAACAAGGCCAGCCCAGAACATCTGCTCCGAGTGCAGATGTGGGCTTGCAGGGGGGCTGCTGGATTCAGTCCCTCTTGCTCTGTGTGTAATTCACGGTGCTGCAGTGCCAGGGCTGTTCCCAAGGAGATATTCACCCCGCTCCTATCCTTAGTGCCACTGCCGTTCCCCACAGGAGCACAGGGAATCTGGCTGGCTGGCCACCTCCTGGGCAGGGAGGTGGAGCCTTTGGAAGGCTGTGCAAATTCGCTTAAGGGGTCGGGGACGGGCGCTCTCAGCACCTTAAACCTTCACCAAGCCGGTGCCACCTTCTACCTGTGGGAGGGGGGATTTGGGGGGGTTTTGGGGGGTGGTTTCCATCACTTTCTCGTCCCATTAGCAAACCGCGCGGGAAAACCGCCTCACTAGGCGGGATAATCCCCGTGCCCTTCGGAGACTCACCCTCCCTCCGTGCTCTCTCCCCGCCGGGAAGGTGCTGGACGGGTCCCCGATCGAGGTGACCTTGGCCAAGCCGGTGGACAAGGACAGCTACGTGCGCTACACGCGCGGCACGGGCGGCAGGGGGGCCGCGCTGCCCGGGGACTGCACCTACACCTTCGGCCACGTCTACGACCCCGCCGCCGCCTACCTGGGCGCCCCGGTGTTCTACGCGCCCCCGGCCTACGCCGCCATCCCCAGCCTGCCCTTCCCCAGCACCAAGGGGCTCAGCAGCAGGAGCGTCGTCCGGGCCCCCTCCATCCGAGGTAACCCCGCCACGGAGGCCCGGCAGAACAGAACAGCCCCTCCAGGAGCGTGTCCCCGGACACCGCCCTGGCTCCCGGCCCCCTTCCCCGAGGGGTTCCAGACTGCCCTCGGCCCAGCGTAAATAAACCCCAAATCCCGGGTTTGCCCCAGAGGGGAAAACCCAATAAACCAATTTTCCTTTCCCCCCCTTTCAGAGCCAGAGCCCACAGCCAGCCCCCAGCACAGCTCAGTGCTGTGTTTCCTCTGAAGGTCACGGGGAAAGTTTTACCAGCCCTGGTGTTTTCTGACCCAAGGCCTTGGAGCTTCCCAAGGAGGTCACCGTGCCCCTAATACAGCATAGGGAGACAGCACTGAAATCAAGAAAGCCATTAATGATGCTCTGGGAGATAGAGCCCTGTTTTGGGGGGTCATTAACCTAATAATGACCAGGGTATTTCTGAAAACTGCTGGGTGACTGCACCCAGGACCAAATCAAATCCCCCAACTCAGCTACCCTCAAATTAAATATCAGTGCAGGCTTCATTTGGGAAGTGCAAAAGTAAGTTTGGGGGGCTAGCAAAAAACCAAAAATACCCACAAGACAAAAAACCAAAACCAACCAAACAAAAACGACAAAACAATCCCCTCAAAAAAAACAAACAAGAAACCCAAAATAAACCGAACAAAAATGACAAAACAATCCCCTCAAAAAAAACAAACAAGAAACCCAAAACAAACCAAACAAAAAAAAAGGAAAAACAAACAAAAAAAACAAACAAAGAGAAAAAAAAAACCACAACCAAAAAACCCACCAAAAAACCTGTGCTCATTGGATCCTCCTTCCAAAGATTATGCCTTGTGTCCCTGAGCCCATGGCCAAGTCCCACAGCAGGCTGGGACCCTGGGTGGCACCCCAACAAGGGCTAACAAGGACCATCGTGGCCAGTTTTTCTCCCTTCACAAGGAAGGGGACAGGACAGCAGGAATGTCCTTTGTGCCTCGGGTTTTTCCCACACAGGTGAAAGCAGCTGCTATGAAGGTTGCACTGGGAAAGGTGCAGATGTGATAACCCACCATCCCTCTCTCGCCTTATCTTCTCCCCAGAATCCCAAGCAGGGTTCCCTGAGGAAAAATGGAAGTGTAATGGGGGAAAAACAAAAAGGGATTTTCATTTATTTAAGGGTGAAATTGTCTAAACTCTGAATTCTTCCAGAGGGTGAAATTACGCTGGTGGGTAACAAAGGATACCAGCTGTCCCCTCTCCGCCTCCCAACTACAAATCTGGGTAGAAAAGCACCCTGAAATCCAAAGTGACTAGAGAAGGTGGGAAATGGGTCAGAAGGGAGCAGGGCTCCCCAAAAAGCCTCCCCTACCCAAGCATAAGAGCCCAAAAAGAAAGGGTGTCGGTGTCCAGCCGGGGTTATCCCACACAGGGGGATGTGCCCCTCTTCCTCCCCACCCCAGCAGGCGGGGCTAACTTTTCCCTTTCAGCAAGGCTCAGGGTCGTTCTTCCCGTGGTTTGATTCAGTTTAATGCCTTCTTACATTCCTAGAAATTTACATGAATGTACCTGTAGGGGCTGCGGGAGTTAGAGGACTGGGAGGTCGCGGCTACCTGGCGTACACGGGCCTGGGGCGAGGATACCAGCTCAAAGAAAAGAGGGGAGAGGACAAACTCTACGACCTCCTGCCAGGGATGGAGCTCACACCGATGAACCACGTCACGCTAAAGCCCCAGGGGATCAAACTCGCTCCTCAGGTACCGAAAACAGCACCGATATCCCATCCAAAATGCTTCAGGGAAACAGGCCCCTGACTGAATCTGGCCTGGGGACTGCTCATTAAATCCCTGCTTGCGCCTCCAAAGACATGAACAAAATTAGTGATACTGCTTGTGCCTTGTAATATCCACCCACCTGGCTGTGGAGCAGCGTCCTGTGGGCCTGGGATCCAGATGGGTGGATGAGGGCTGAGGAGGAATCCGGAACAAATTCCCCGAGTCTCTGTAGATCCAGCTCTCCTTACGTTCTCCTTTCCCCTTACATTCTCCAAAGCAACCTGAGGAACCAACTTCACCCTGAATTTTGAAGCACGTCTTGGCACTGAGTTAGCACAGCAGCCAGTTTGCCACAGCCTATGAAACCATCCTTTTTTTTCCTCCTGGAAAACTGGATAGTGGGATTTTTTCCCTCCTGCAAAATTCCACAGTGCCCTTACCCTGTCATGTCAGAGTCACAGAATGGCCTGGAGGGAATAAGCATTGCCCCAGTCCAGAAATGTAATGAACTATTTATTTACACACCAGGTGCTGAACTTCAGCGGGAGCTGTGGTTGCAAATTTAAAAGAAGCACCGACATTTACATTTTACATTTTAATCTTCAATAAAATGAAGCCCAAGTTTTAAATAAGCAAGACTTTGGCGTGACTTAATTGTGGCCTTCCAGTAGCTGAAGTGAGCCCACAAGAAAGGTGGAGAGAGACTATATATCTATTTACAGGGGTCTGGAGTGGCAGGACAAGGGGGAATGGCTCCCACTGCCAGAGGGCAGGGTTTGATGGGATAGTGGGAAGGAATTGCTCCCTGTGGGGGTGATGAGGCCCTGGCACAGGGTGCCCAGAGAAGCTGTGGCTGCCCCTGCATCCCTGGGAGTGTCCCAGGCCAGGTTGGATGGGGCTTGGAGCAACCCAGGATAGTGGAAGGTGTCCCTGCCCAAGGCAGGGACGATCTTTAAGGTCCCTTCCAACCCAAATCATTCTTTGATTCTGTGGGTAAAAAATCTGAAATCCAAAGCCAAAGCAGGAGTGTTTCTGGACAGCAATTCCCCAATTACCATGGAATCAGCTGTGCTGGGACTGAGGGCAATGTGGTTCAGCATTTCCCTTTCAAACTGAAAGCAGGAGTCGCCTGCTGAAGCCTGTGTAATTAATTGGATGGAAACACAACCTTTTTTCTTTCTAAAAAGGAGGCTATTTGGACTTCTTATGCTCCGTAACCCACTAAGCCAGGGGGTCAGCAGAGCAGTGAAGATGAATGCAACTCAAGTTTTTTTTTTGTGCTCTGAAGCAGGAGTGCAGATACGGAGTTTTTTGAGGAGAATTCAAAAAAACCACACTGAAACCAGAATAAAGCAGCTAATCAGCAAAAGGACAAAGGCATCCAATTTAACAGGGAATGGCTTCAGGAATTAAACAGGTTTTTGAAGTAGAAAACATTTAGATGAATCTTATACTTGAAGGGGACTGTAGTAGCCTGTCTGCCATTTATTTTATATTTTTTGTAAGCTTTGAGGAAGCTGCCACGACTCCCTGTAAACCCTCTGGGGGGAAGGCAGCTGACTGGTGCAGGGGCTGGGTGAGGAGGCTTCTGTGCACCAATTAACCTGAGCAAAACTCCCTTTTCTTCTTCTAGATCTTAGAAGAAATCTGCCAGAAAAACAACTGGGGACAGCCTGTTTACCAGCTCCACTCTGCAATCGGCCAAGATCAAAGACAGCTCTTCCTGTACAAAATCACCATCCCTGCCCTTGCCAGCCAGAACCCCACCATGTATGTAATTATTTGAGGTATTCTGAGGTTTAGGTTTCATTTTTTTAAATGGCATTTTATCTAAAATCTCCCCTCAAAGCACAATCACACGGCTCTCTATTTCCCTTTTTTATTTTATAATGTATTAGGGAGAAAAACACCTACAACCTAAAACAGACTGATGTCTGCCATGCTTGGTGCCCTCTCTCTGCTGGTGCAAACACTAGAGAAGGCCAGATATAATCAGGCAAAAGGGGGCTTTTTAATACAAAAATAAAGCCATACCATAGCTCCTGTGGGGAAATGAAAGCAGCTTGAAGGACCATGCTGCTCTTCAGGCTCCAAATACGATCCTAAACATTTCCGACCTGAAACACTCTTCGCTGTGCACTGTAAGAAAAACCAAAAACAACCAACCCCTGACTGTGTATAAAAAAAACCAGCAGGTTTGTTTTCTTTTTTTTTTTGACTGACAAAAGCACAACAACCTCTGAGAGGACGTTGTGCCCAAAACGAGAGCCGGGGTCGGTAAGCTCAGCCAGGAAACCATGCTGCTAACGAGGAGAGTGCTCCTCTTAGTGCAGCAGCACGGCAAAACACAGCTCCCCTTTGCTGTGCGGGATGGTGGCAGCTCCGAGCAGGCCAAAACACGTGGCAGGGGCAGCCCCAGGGAAAGCCAAGCCGGCTAACGCGTTGCTGTGCTCGCAGACACCCCTTCACGCCGCCCAAGCTCAGCGCGTACATCGACGAGGCCAAGACCTACGCGGCGGAGTACACCCTGCAGACCCTGGGCATCCCCCTGGAGGGAGCGGAGGTGCCTCCTGCAGCGCCAGCTTTTGCAGGTATGGGAAGGTCTGTACAGCAAACGCCTCCTGCAATGTTATTTTTCCCCGCCGCTTCCTTGCGGATGCCAAGAGCGAAGCTGGCTTAGCTGTGCTCCCCCGCCTGCCTTGGCTCGTCTTACCTGTGTGTGTGGCACTTCTATCACTGCATTCCAGAATGGTTTGGGTGGGAAGGGGCCCCAAAGATCCTCTTGTTTCACCCCCCTGCCATGGGCAGGGACACCTTCCACCAGCCCAGGTTGCTCCAAGCCCCGTCCAACCTGGCCTGGGACACTTCCAGGGATCCAGGGGCAGCCACAGCTTCTCTGGGCAACCTGTTCTAGTTTACTGCCTATAAAGCAATTTATCCCTAAGCCAGGGCTACCCAAACTGCAGGGTACAAACCACAGAGGAGCTCAGGCTGGAGGCATGGGGGTGAGGGTCTCTGCTCCAACCCTGCCACAGGGGCAGGAGGTTGTTCAGGGTTATGTCCAGGAGACTTGGGGCAGTGTCCAAGGAACCCCACCACCCGGGGGCCCATCCCAGCTACATACCTCCTGTCCACTCCTTCCAGTTTGGGAATGCCTCCCTTCAACTGGGAGCCCCAGGTAAGGTGCAGGATCCAAAACCAGAGTGCCCCATCTGGGATGAGTCCCCTCCCTGGCCCTACTGGCTGATGCCACCCAGGATGGAGCAGATCTTCCTCACTGCAAAGACGCACAGTTGCTTGGCTCATGGCCCATCCACCGTCCCCCAGTGCCCCCAGCTCCTTCTGAACCAACACTTGGGATTTCATCTGCAAAAGAAATGACACGGCCGTGGAAGTTTGGATCTGATCCCAGCTCTCACACCCCCACTGGAAGGTTGGGTTTTTGTTTTTCCCAGCTTGGGAATTCACACTCAATAGCTCTTGCAACTGCTCCAAACAGCTTGGGAAGTCATGGAGAACCCAGGAATCCAGCTCACAGCATTACATTTACTGTGCTCTCCAGCGTGATGGTTATTCTGGTGTAGTGGCAGCAGCACACGCCAAACTGCACATGAGGAATGCATTAGTCAGTACTAGTGAGCTGTTTGGAGTGTCTCAGGGATGGATTAAAAAAAAAAAAAAAAAAAAGAAATCTATCCGGCTTCCTGCCACAGGAGTCCGCAAAAGCCACAGAAAAATCAATTTGTCTGGGTTTGTGCAGGGCTTCCGCAGCGTGGAAACCAAATGGGCTCTTTATTGAATCCAGCCCCCACTTACTGCCTCATTAGAATCTCTCCTTTTCTTTCATCCACCATTATTTATTTGTCTTGGAAACACAACAAACTGACAAGCATGGAAGTTGCTGCTTGCAGCACACACTGGCCCTCGGTCAGGGCCTGCTGGAGCCCAGCTCAGCTCAGGCCGTGCTGGGTAGCAGCTCATTCCCCTTGTGGTGGTGGCAGATATGCCTTAAACCACTCAATGCCTCGTCAAAACATTGCACCTCGCTTTGCTCGTGCTGAGAAAATACCCTGAGCAGCCAAGCCCCTAAAATTAGGGTGAACCTCTCGTGTTCTCCCCCAAAGTAAGGCAGCCCATGAGGCAACGTGTGCTCAGCGTTGCCCAGTATCTCCATTACCCCCAGCGAGAGGAGCCCAGCTCCGACTGACCCTGAGCTGACCCCGTTGCCCAGCTGGTCAGACAAAGATTTTGGAGCCAGCAGATCCAATGGATATCCCACCCCAGCTGCTTCTTCCCAAATTTAGGCTTCGTCTTAACTCCTGATTCTTTCACGAGGAAATGGTGTGGTCTGGCCGAAGAGCTGCCCTCGGAGAACCCAGCCCCAAAACCATGTTTGTTTTTCCCAGGGATTCACTCCAGCTCAGCAGAGCCAACATCTTCCCATGGAAAACCATGAAGTGTTGAAACCACATTTTCCATTAGAAACTGATGGGAATAAAAAAAAATCCAGCCTGCTAAATATTTCCTCCTCCATGCTGCACAGAGGGAATTTCCCCTCTCTAACCTGACTGTCCTGAATTCCATGTGTTTTGAGTGTGAAAGGTATCAGAGGCATATTTTCTCCATGAAACTTGCCCAAACTCCCCCTATATGATGTCATTTTCTTACCCTGCTTGTGCCATGCGTGGGAGGACAGGGACAGAGCACCATTAACACTCTCTTAGCTCAGAAATAATCGAAGCCTACGGAAAAAATATTCCACAGAGAGAGGTGTTTTTCGAGCACCGTCTTTACAAAACTGTAGGTGAGGAAGTGCATTAATTTTCCAGTTGTTTTTTTTTTTTTTTCCTCAGCTCCCTTAAGAAAAAAACCATGCCAGAAATGACCTATTTAATTTAATTAGCTCGTTCCCATTAAGAAGCTCATTGCTCCCTAGGCCATCCCGTCCCACGGGGATCAAAACCTACCAGGTGAGGGTGAGTTCGGAGCGGATTTTCATTAATCTGCAGTTTTTCCTTCCCTTTTCCCCTGCAGGATATACCATTGCTAACGCAGCTGCCACTGTCACAGCCACTCAGCTCAAGCAGGCAGTGACTGTGGGACAAGATTTAGCAACTTACGCGGCGTACGAAGCCTATCCCGCCTTCGCAGTGGCCGCACGCAGCGATGGCTACGGAGCATTTTAACCCTGGCCTTAATCAAGCTCCCCTAAACCGAGCACAGGCAGAAAGGAAGGAGGGGGAAAAAAAAAAAGAAAAAAATCTCAGTCTGGTAATTTTTACACCCTCGTGATTTTAAACTCCTCTGTCGCCTGAAGTTAATCTGAGTCAGAGTTTCAGCCCTGCAGTTCTTTGGGTTTGTAACGGGATATTGGGGGGAGGGTGGGGGGGAAGGGAGATGTTAAAGGGAAAAAAATCACTCAAAATCAGATTTTCACAGTAGAAAGTGAAAGCTCAGCCCAGAAATGAGCGGTTCTCAGGTGTATATATATATATATGTATTATATATATATATACACAGCCTATTGTGTGTGTGTGTTTACAAGCAACAACCTGTGCTGAATACAGTTGACCCTGTGGATGTTGTGACATGGGACAGGGGAAGGAAGGAGCACCCCCAGCAAAACCCTCCATGCATCAGGAATTCTCCTCCATTCACCCCAAAATTTCTTCTCCAGCCTTGACTCCTGGGCCACATGGATTTGCCTCTCCCTGCCCCGGGCACCCCGTGCCCAAACTGTGTCAACAAATCAGCAAATAATGGTGTATTTTTGTCCTCTTTTCCTCGAATGGCACATTCAGTGAAGGACAGGAAAACTTTTAGGTCTATTAAGGCTGAGGATCAGAAAAGTGCTATTCATTAAGGCCAATTCTGTACTTAATTAGAGCATGAGAGCTCACAGCCATGGCCCAGTAATAACAGGCACCTCTGCAGGAATAAAATGATATCCAAGGAACATTCCCACAGCTTGGAAAGAGCCTTGCCTGGCTGTCAGTGCTACTTTACACACCAGATCAAGGCTTCTGGCTGCTGTGATTCCACCAAAAATGAATGTAGTGGAACAGCAGTAAAGGCACCTCTTGCTTTGGAGAGCACCAGAGGTTGGTGCTGTGTTTGAACACTTTGGGGGTGCTGAGAGCACCCCTTGGTTTACAGCAGGAGGGCATTATCCATTTATTTTTGCTGTGGGATCAAGGTAGGAGTAGTGATGCTCCAGAGATACAGGAGGAACCTGGTGCTGGATAACTAAGAGCAGGCATATTAATCCTGTATCACATATCCTGTGCAGTGAAGCAGTCTGTGAAAACTTCACTCTGCTCAGCCCAGGACAAAAAAAAAAAACAACCCACCTTTTTTGAGGGGGGAGAACTTACAGCTGGATTGACGACACCCATCGATTCCAACAGATCTGGCCCCAAATTTTCCATCTGCTCTGGGTGATGGGAGGTGGCACCAAACAAGCCGTTCCAGGAGGAGATTTTTTTCCCGTGCATCCCCAAAACTGTACGAAGCACAGGGGTCTGTGACAAGGTGTTGACTACTGGGAACTAAGTGTTTTCTCTTCTCGTGCTCCGTCTGACTTGATTTCACTCGGCATGGAACAAAACCCCATGAGCTGCAAGGTTTGTGGTCCCCTCAGGCCCCTTCTATTTATAAAGTAGCTCGTTGGGGTGACCCTAAAGGTATTACAAGCCCTCTGTGGTTGCTGTTGGTCACACTTCAAATGACAGAGCTGTTCACAGAGGGCGGAATAACCGAGAGTGTTATGGATCTCGTGGCTTCTTTTTTCTCTTCTGTGTCTTTAAGTCGTGTTTGCCAACGAGTAACACGTCCCTGAGTGCGTCTCCCTAAAGGACCACCGTTGGCAGGAAGTGTTTCTCACTGTGCCTGTTCAGTGACTTTAGTCTGCTTTTTTCAGCTATTTATATGAGTTCAGAAAGATGTCAAAGAAAAAAGGCAAGAAGCAGTATTAAAAAAGTGTGTGCGTGAAGCACTTATTTTTGTACACTGGTACAATATTTGTATAGAGTTTTAACACTATGGAGTGTAGGAAAAAAATCACACTTTCCATTGATTGGAGGACAATGGTGTATGTTTGAAGGGAATGAAGTGGAAATGGCATCTCAATCAGCCGTTACAAGCAAATTATAACTGGGATTAAATTCTGTGAAGCGGGTGTGTAATTTTGGAGTGATCCGAGGACATTCACTGGACTTTGAAATACCATTAAAACTTTGTGAGCCAACCCACGTGCCTCTATCCTTTTACAGCCGCTGTGTGGTCAATAAGAGCACACTGTGCTCCGTAGGGATCGATGGGAGGTCGGACAGGCAGGGTCACAGGCTGTTCAGCAGCACCAGGAGCGTTTACCATGTGCATGTGGAGCCCACGAGCAGCAGCAAATCAGCAGTTTTATGCTTCTGCCTAAAAAAAACATCGCCTCTCTGGTCAGTAATTATTTCTCTGTCAGCGCTGCAGGAATCGCTTTTGCTGTAAATCTGATTACAGGGGTAACTGCTCCTGGCCTGATCCCAGTGGAGATTTCTCGGGGGTGACACCAACAGCAAGGCAGCAACATGCAAAAAGAAGGGGGTGGATGGGTGTGATACCTGGCTTAGGATTCTGAGGGAGTGGCTGCCAGGTTACCAACGTGTAAATCAGCTACACCCTGCTCGTTTCAGGATGAGAAGCTGCTCCTTGGAACACCAGTGTAGTTAAGCGGCTTCCTCACCTGGTACAAGAGGTACTGGTGTTGCACCTTCCCAGGGAGATCCTGAGCCCAGGAAATGGGAGGAAGTTCTGGTACTTTGCTCCTGCTAGCACACAGCCCTCAGAAAAAGGCCTCTCTACTAAGCCAAAAGAGATTTTTGCCAAAGTAACTTGACATTGTTCTTACAGACTTAGAAAGAGGTCAGCTGTACTCCGGGCTCCGGGGAGAACAGCAGCTCTGCCAGCTCCGTTATTTTCCCTCATTAGCCTTTCCCGATGTCCTGCTTTCCTTTTCTTTGAAACCAGGGCAGTGGCAGAGTTGGCTTTTGTGCTGTAGCGTTTCCCCCCTCCGGAACTGAGATTCCCCCTTTGCCCAGCAGCAGCTGGATGATCACTTTAGGAGAGCCAGAATGATTTTTCAAGGAATCTCAAACCCACAACCCAGCTCAAAAAAACCCCACCAATGCAGGTGGGGGCCAATGCAGGGCTCAGACAGCCTCTCCCTGGGGGAGGGCTGGGATAGGACTTGGTACGGGAGGCAAGTTTGCCAAGTTCAGAGAAGTTTGTGTCCCACGACAGTGAAATAAAAAAGGCGGAGTTCTGCCCATCTCCCGGGCTCGTAGGCGAGGCCCGAGCCGCTCCACACGGAAGGAGAGCAGCCCCGGAGAGAGGGACCAGCGGCTCTGACGAGCAGCGCTATATTTAACAACTGGCAAGGCGCCCAAATTCCTGAAAACATTTCGTTCCAAGCTCCGGATCTGCTCAGCGGCGAGCTTGTTCTCGCGTGGAACGGCACTGGCATCCAGTGGCCGCCAGGTCCAAGTGCAGCATCCCAAAAAAAAAATCACTGTTAAAGAGTAAATAAAACCAAGGCTCTCAGAGCCGCTGAGCTTTCTAGGCACAAAAAATTATGAGAAGTAGCAAAAAAAAAAAAAAAAAAAAAAAGGCCTGCCCCCTAAACATCAAAAAGCCAGTGCCCACTGCTGCCAGTCAAATAAACAAGCTGATAGGAGGAGTCTCACAAAGCAATCTCCTCTGGGGCACAGAGGGGGGACTCTCCAGAGACCCTGATTCTGCCTCTCAACACTCCCTCTCCCATAAAAAACTCCAGTTTCTTAAAAACACTCTTTTGGAGTCAGATGCTCGTGTTTTAGAGGGTAAATCTTACCCACAAGCATTCTGACTGTGCAATTCAGGTTTGCCTCACTAAACACGCTCAGTGCTCCTGAAAAACATCCACAGTTAATGTAGTGCAATAATAGAGACAAAAATATCACAAACAATAATAATAATAATAAAAACAATCACAGTGGGGAAAAGCCATTGGGCAAGGGAAAGCAGAACTAAGTGGAACTGACACCAAAATCACACAATCACCACTTTATTGGGACTTTACTGAGCTGCAACACAAATACATTCACAGCAGGCCAGGGCAAGAGGTGCACACAGGACCACCAGCACAGCAGCTGGGCTTGCAGGAACACCCTCTCCTCAAGTTATGGAGCCAGGGGCTGACAGTTGGGATCCATCCTGGGGGACTGGAGAGCACTCAGACATCAGGGCCAAGTCCTACCTGGGCACTGCAAGCAGTTCAGCCCCAGCAGCAGTGGGAGTTTCTGCCTCTCCCTCCAAGAGGATTTGGGACCCAACAGCTCCTTGGAGAGGAATTTTATCTTCATGGATATTTTAGAAAGTTGAGCTTCAGGAGAACTGAGGCACTTTTCAATATTCCATACTCTTCCAGGACTTCACTTGCCAGGATCCTTTGGGCACGAGGAACCTTCCAGACTGCTCCAAACCTTCACGGCCCACTTGTTCTTCTTGCCACAGTTGGACCAGCTCAGGGTCCCTGCAGAAAGAGAAAATTCAATGATTCTCTCTAAAACCAGAACCTCCCCTGCTTTGCTTTCCCATTCCATGTTTTGTTCCCTGCACAACTGAGGTCCTTCCAGGCCTTGTCAAGTGGCAGCCAAGGAACCCAACCCAAGAACCTGCCAGGGAGCAGCCTCTGTGCCACAGCAACAGCATTCCAGGCCTGGCACTGCTGACCCTCCGCTTCCCCAACAGCTCTGGTGGTACCAGAACTTGTCCTGAAGGCAGAAAGGCTCCTTTTGGGAGCACCACGAGCCATCTATACTGCAGCCCTGGAATTCCATCTCCTGCATGGAGAAGCTGGGAGAAGCAGGGAAGAAAGCCAGGACCTTACAGGTCAATTAGGGACATCCAACAGCAGCTCCGATAAAGGTACTGACTCAACACATCCCCAAAGACACAGGACAGCAAGGGCCAACACCTTGACAATCACTTCAGTTTGCAATTTATAAAGCCAAATTAAAGCAAAGCTTCTCAGACACTTTGGAAGACTCAATCCCCTTGTAACCAGTTTGTGGGACTCATTCCCAGCCTGCTGAGGTTCATTTCCCACCTCACTCGTGGCTGCACTAGACCTGGTTACACACACACACACAGAAGGAGCTGCTGCAACTTGTCCAGTTTCCTGCTTCTCCTTGAAACTCCTCCAGCTGTTTGCCCAGCTCTCCAGGGTCCATTCCTTTGCCCACTGGACTTGTTCCCAGCCCCAGGGCTGCCAGGGCCACCCTGGGCTCTCACCTGCCCTCACACTGAGTGACCTTTCCCAGCCCCGAGTCCATCCGGCACTGACCGAGCTGCTGGGGGCTGCAGTTCTCCCTGCTCCTTCCCTCCCTCTGCCTGGAGAACACCCCTTCCAGCTCCTGCACCCCCACCTCTTACCTCCCAGAACAGCAGAGCTGCATCCTCCTGGATCCTCCAGCTGGACGCTGCTGGCTCTGTGCAGTTCCCACCCTTCAGCAGGGATGGCAAAGGGAGCTGGGACACCACAGCCCCCAAACCTGCCCAGTCTCCAGCTGCTGAACAGACCTGGTGTTGTGCTGACAGGCAGGGCACTCAAGGAAACGACTCACCGGTCATAGAATAATAGGAACAGTTTAAACAAAGACAATCCAACACATCAGATACAGATTTATGGGATAAAAAAGAAAATGAGCAAGGCATCAAATCCTGACTGCCCCAAGAGACAGAACTGTGGCTAAGGGCCGAGGGTGGAGGGCACAGAACAGCTGCACACACCTGGCCTGCCTTTCTGCAGCAACACTCACACCAACTGCACACTTCAGCCAGGGCACCTGAGCACAGACAGCCTTCACCCTGTTCCTCAGGGGCAGCAGCCCCTGGGCAGCAACTCTCAGGGAACTTCTCATCCTTTCCCTTTGGTCCTTTGATCCCTGGTCAGGACAGAGGCGTGCAAGAAACAACTTCCTGGAGTTGATACCATAGACAACAACTCCCTATTGTTCATAAAATCAGTGTAATTACTATGATTAATGGATGGAATAAAGTGTTCCAAAACTTCCTATCAGATGGTGAGAATGCTGTAAATATGTCCCCCCAGAGGTGAGCAGTGAGTTGTTCTACCTGATGCCCAAAGGTCACCAATGGACCCCCTCTATTTACTCTTTGCATTTGGTGATCAAGCCTTATCCAGCCACCCTTGAGGGGGCCAGGTAAACATGCCCTGCCTGTCCTGCCCAGGGAAAAGGAACTGACCCCAGTGTTCCTCAGCACAAGGCAGCCCTTGGAAATATCCACTGCCCTTCCACAGTCAGGCACAGCAATAAGCACTCCACAAGGCTGCTGTGGCAGAGGACCAATCTGAAGCTCAGCTTTTCTCTGTACCACCTCACTTTGTTTGCCACCTCATCCTATCGTCAAAACTTGCTGTCCTTGCACCTTTTTAGGCTGACCATCAGTTGAAGAGGCCTCTGCTCCAGCACCCACAAGGGCCTGAGCCCTTTGACAAGATGCATTTTTCCAAGGAATTCAAAGCTCCACCTGAGGGCCATGGGCTTTTCTCACCCACCCTTGTGCTGGAGCTTGGCCTTCATCTCACTCTGCCTTCGCTTCTTTCAGTGGCTGCACCATTTCCTGCCCTGCCTTGGCTGGAGCTCGGCATCCTGATCCCATTCCTGCCGGCCCCCGGAACCGCTGACTCAGCAATGGGGGGCCCTCCATTGCCAAGTGCACGGTCCCGTCGGGGCTCACGGGGGGAGCAGGAGGTCGAAGGGCTCCAGCCCTCCTGGGACAACTTTCCACCACTACAGCCAACAAAGGAGCCTCTCCAGCCCTGCCTCCAAAGGCATCCTGAACAAACCCAGCCCAACTCCACGGGACAAACTGCTCCCTGTCTGCCCAGTCCAATCTGATCCCAGAGGCTCCCAGCTCATGCAGCCCAACTGCCCATCACCCATTTTCCAATTTAATTTCTGCCTCAACTTTTCCAACCAATCTCTGCCTGGCAGAGGTTTTGGTATTTTTGGCAAATAGACAAACTGAGGAATTAGCCAACGTTTCCCACTTTCACCTCTGTCACACCAACCACCTTCCCAGTGCCATCCCCTAATTCTCCCTCGGTTGTGTTAAGGACTGAGGAAGCTGGACCTGTGTCTGACCAGGACACGTGCAAACCAAACGGTGGGGACTGGAACCCACACCTTGCACTCCTGCAGCTCTCACAACTGCATTCAAGAGAAAACAGCCAACGGTACCATCACCACTCATTCCTTAATTCCAATCCCAGATTCCTTTTACAGTCAAAGCACCACTTTTAGAACCCAGTTACAGTCCATTCCGGAGCTCCATGGCCAGGACAGACAGCTACACCTCTGATACTCTCAGGAATGCCTGAATCCATTCCAGGGACCTTGCTTTCAGCTCCCCAGCTTGGGGCACCCAGAGGAGCTCCCCGAAGAACAATTTCGGTGCGCGCTGGAGTTCTCCGAGTGTCCCAGCCCGGGGGGCAGCAACAGCACTGTCCCTCCAGGGGGGCCCAATCTGCCCCCGAAATGCAGGGGGATCTTGCCCGTGTCCCAGACTGCTCCGGGGATCTGAGGGCCTTCCCGAGAACATCTCGGTGCCGGCGTGAAGGCCCAGAGATCCCTCGGAACATCAGGAGAGCAGGCGCAGAGTCCCTGCCTGGGGCCAATTTGGCTGCCTCAAAACAGCTTGGCAAAGAAGCCTCTAAGACTCAGCTGGTGAGTTTTAGAAGCCAGGCATTCCTTGCTGACAACACCCTGCACTGATCCCAGCCCACCGGGGGTCCTGGCCATCAGCTCCCACAGTGCACACAGAGGTGCCTCCGCTGCAGCTGATGGGAGGACTCAGCATTCCGTGAGGGTTCATTTTGTTCCCTGCGTTCCTGTTCCACGCTCAGGACATTCCCCAGCACTTACAACCATACACACCTACCCCGATAAGGTTTCTGAGGGGCTTCATCAAGGGGCCTTGGAGGTCTTCTCTGTCTGGAGCATCCAAAGTCCCGAGTGTCTGCCTTAGGAGCCTCAAAACAACTCACCTGCTGACAGAGGAACTTGGTGCTGCTTGGCTGCTGCCTCATTTCCCTTCTTCCTTGTTTCTTCACCTCGCTGGGTTAGTCCCTGTCAATCCTCTGGCTCAGCTCTGGGCAGTTTCCACGCCACAGCCCCCTGCAAAAAGTATCAGCACTCGTTACACCTCAAAACTCAGACAGCATCCCCCCTTTTTTCCTGACACTTGGCCATTAGGCCAAGGTCTCCTTATTTAAAGCACAGTTGGACTCCTGAGCGACTACAACAGCTACAGCCCTGAATCCTAACACAGGCTGAGGGACAAATACGGATGAGAATTGGAAGGATCCAGTTAGTTCTGCTGACCAATCAAAGGAGTTTTCCTAACCTAAGATAAAGATGCCCAAGGTCCCTTTTCTGCCACTTGAACTGCTAGAAATGGGATCAACCAGGCCTGCAAAGGCCCTTTCCACTTCACCTGGACAGGCTGGGAGTCCCACCGCCTGACAGGGACCCAACGGCTGGGCAGGAACGGACGGGCTGGGGCGTCCAATCCATCGGTCGGGGCGTCACCGTCAATTCCGGGAGTTTCTGCAGGGCAGATCCTAAAAGCAGCAAAGAATTATGAGGATCGTTTTTGCTTTCATGGGAATAGCTCCTGCAATATGGGGAGTTGATAAGGCCTCCTGGTGCAACAAGGACAGACTTATGGCCATCTATTCAAAGTATCTCAAAAGCTCTCTGCACACCTTATGCTTTATTTTCCCTCCCAAACAAAGGGGCTTCAAACAGTTCAGAGAGATGTGGCAGAGCCAGAGCTCTCCTCAGGGAATGCCTGAGCTGCCTAAAGGCTGCCCTTGCACCATCTACCCAAGGCAGGAAACTCTTACAGGGGGTTTCAAAAGTTTGTATCAGTCTTACCACACATCCATGGGGAGCAATCCAGAGTCCTCACCGTCCTACCATTCCCAGGAAGGCACTTCATGGACTGCCTGTGGCTCACGGAGGACTCAGGTGGCTTCTTGTCTTCCTTCCCCATTTCTGCATTTTCTCCTTCAAAAGCAAAGGTTTCTTGGCTTGCCTTGCTCCAGGAGATGCAGCAAAGGGCATCTTGAAATCTAAGACTGTCAGCTGCTCAACTTTGTCATTTCAGGTGCTTCTCTCACGTCCTGCACTGATCCATCCTCTTTGCCACTGGGTTTCTTTGCAGGTTCTTGCAGTCACATTCTGGAAGCAAAGCACAATGAGCAAATTCAGCTGTTACTGCAACCAATGCATTCTGGCACTGTGATTTTAAAGGATCCTGGGGTTGCCTTACCTAGAGAGATCTCAGCTTCATGGGAATACCTACAGGGTCTGCCCTTGTCCATTCTCCTGGAATTCCACTGGCCCACACCACAGGAACAACTCCATCTTCTGCCACTTCAGTCAGGACGGTGCTGCTGACAGGAGTTATTTCCTGCACGAGAAGAGCTGCTGCTCTCACACAGTTAGTTGCAGGAATTACAATTTCAATCTCTCCATTGTTCAATTTGATTTCTGCCTCAACTTTCCCAATCAATCTCTTCCTAGCAAAGGTTTAGGGGAGCTTGGCAAATAAACAACTGAGGAATTACTCCTTGTTTTCCCAGTTAAACCCTTGTCCCACCCATCACCTTAATAGTGATTGGTTAATTAATTGGTTAATTAAGCCAGTCCTTAATTCTGCCTTTGTTAAGGACTAATTAAGCTGGACCTGTGTCTGACTAACACATGTGCAAACCAAATGCTGGGGACTGGAACCCACACCTTGCACTCCTGCAGCTCTCACAATTCCACTGAAGAGAAAACAGCCAACGGTACCATCACCACTCATTCCTTTATCCCAATCCCACACTTCTTTTGCAGCTGGAGCACCACTTTTAGAACCCAGTTACAGTCCATTCCAGAGCTCCATGGCCAGGACAGACAGCTACACCTCTGATACTCTCAGGAATGCCTGAATCCATTCCAGGGACCTTGCTTTGAGCTCCCCAGCTTGGGGCACCCAGAGGAGCTCCCCGAAGAACAATTTCGGTGCGCGCTGGAGTTCTCCGAGTGTCCCAGCCCGGGGGGCAGCAACAGCACTGTCCCTCCAGGGGGGCCCAATCTGCCCCCGAAATGCAAGGGGATCTTGCCCGTGTCCCAGACTGCTCCGGGGATCTGAGGGCCTTCCCGAGAACATCTCGGTGCCGGCGTGAAGGCCCAGAGATCCCTGGGCACACCAGGATAGCAGGCGCAGAGTCCCTGCCTGGGGCCAATTTGGCTGCCTCAAAACAGCTCGGCAAAGAAGCCTCTAAGACTCAGCTGGTGAGTTTTAGAAGCCAGGCATTCCTACACACTAAGATATTTTAAGACCTTACTGAGTGAAAATGCAGAAAACTTTTGTCATGGCCAGATGACCTCTCACAGACAGCTCCTTTCCCCTTTCTGCACAAAATTTGTTTCATGGTATCATTTAATAGGAAGTGCCCAGGAACCCCAGCCTCTGCTTTCCAGGACAGAAAATAAACAGGGGGAAAGAGTTTTGCACAAGTTTTGCACGCTCCAGAGCAGACCTGACTTCAGTTTACTCTTTGTGTTCAAATATTCCATAGAAAAGCTCCAGCAGGAGAGCTGGCACATTACCCAGGGTACCTGAAAGCCCAACCTTTGAGGGCTGTAGGAAAATCACAGTAGGACGAGCTCCTTGTGCCTGCACATGCCTGGGGATCCTTTCCATCCACCCCGTGCTCTCCCAGCAGGAACAACAGTAACCTCAGGGACAGGGTGGCACTTGACATCCTGCTGAGAGAGGAGGAAGGAAACCTTTAGCATAAAGCTGAGTTGGAACCTCGAGCTTCCTTTCCCGGGAGTTTTGTGCAGTCTGCAAACGAGGAGGAGAAATTTTGATCTCCTTTAGTGCAGGTGATAACAGAGGCTGAGAGCTTTTGCCTTTTTCAGACAACTGTGCCCTTTTGGACTCCCTACAAGTTCAAGTGGCACTAGAATCCCCTTCCTGCATACGCGCAGCTGTCACACACAGGCACCCACACACCTTTTCTGCAGCCCACACGTGGCCAAGATTTCCTCACCCTGTGGACATCCCACCCTGCGTAGTTTTGCCAGAGAGCACAGCACCCTCCCTGTCCTTGCAAACTGCCTCCCTGCAAAAAAGGAGCAATGTTTCCTGGACACTTCTCCCATAGTCAAGGTCTTTTGAAGCTGCTGTCGTGCCACCAAACCTGCTCAGGGTCCCTCCCAGCTTCTGCCTTGCCTTGGATTTCAAAGGCTTATACATATTCCATCTTCCAACAGCAAAACCCAGTTCCTCACTGGCAGTATAAGCCCTGTTCTTACCGGTACAAACTCCCAGGCTCGGCACAGCTGTGGTAGCAGAGCAGCTTTCCAAGGTCCTTCTCTCTCCCAGTAGGAAGCACAACTCGCCACGCTCTGCCAGCACCAGGGGAAACCACGAGGAAAGCTGGAAACTGACGCAGAATGAAGAAAGAACATGAAGTCGGCACCAAAAAACCTAGTTCGAACAGCCCTTGCCTCATAGCCCTGCACGGGGAAAGGTTTTGGAGTTCCAAGGCAAACCCTGATAGACCGAGAGAGCAACAGCCCCTCAGCCCCGCCACGGCTGCCCCCGGGGCTCCCCGGCAGGGAACGGGCTTACCCAGCCCCCGCAGCCCAGCACAGCGGCCCCAAACCCCGCCCAGCTGCCCCGTTCCACGGGCACGGATGGGAATTCTGCAGACGAGCCGTGCCTGGCAGACAAATCCAGCTCGTGCCCGCTGCGAGGGCTGGCCCGGAGCTGCTCCATCCCTGCTGCCACGAGCTGTGCTGGCAGTGCCGCGGCTGCGGGTGGGATTCCCCCAGCTCCGGACGCTCCGGAGCAGGGCAGTGCAGGGCACGGCTCCTCCGTCCCCTGCCAAGAGGAAGCACAAGGAGGGCCGGCTCGCTGCCTGGTGCTCCGTCCTCCTGCCGGCCCGCCTTCCCTGCCCGGCTGCTCCGGAGCGCACAGGGAGCCCCGAGAACATTCCTGGCAGGAAGCAGGAGCCGCCGAGGGCTCCGTCCAGCTCCGGGCCCGAAAAGCGGCCCCGAGCCGGCATCCCCCCGGCATTTTGGCTTGCAAGCGCTCACCTGGAGCTGAGCAGGTCCCCTGCAGGCGGGACCAGACGGCGACCCTCGGCCAAACGCCCGTGCCTCGGAGCGAGGTAAAAGAATCGCTGTGGGAAATTGCGGCCGTTGCGAAGGCAGAGGCGGGCCCAGCCTGTGCCCGAGCCGCGGCACGGTCAGCGCCAGCTCCTGGGGCTGCCTGTGGACAGACACAGGGACACGGGGACAGGCGGGCAGCTCCGCTCGGGGTCCCGGAGCACGGGAGGAAGGAGGAAAGGAAGCGTTCTTCCCTGCCCCGGCACGGGCCCCGGCTCCCCACGGCCGGAGCGGGCCCGTGCCCGGAGCCTCGGCGGGCCCCAGATCCCCCGTTCCCGGGGGCACTGCGGGCGGGAAGCCCGCGGCATTGCGGCCGCGGAGCAGGGGCAGGCGGGCGGTGTTCTCTCCGGGGGGGATGCGCTGGGGCCGGGGTGCCCGAGCCGGGGGCTCTGACCCCGCGGGGGGCGCGGGCGGCGCTGGGGGCCCGGCGAGTTCGGGGGTCCCGGGCGGGCCCGGCGCGTCCCCACGAGGACGGACGAGGGAAGCGCCGCCGTTCTCCCGGCCCCGGGCCCCGGCAGAGCCCCGGCCCGAGCGGCCCCGCCCGCCTCGGTCCCAGCGACCGCCCCGGAACGGCTCCTGCCGGCCGCGCCGGGGCAGATGCGCCGGTCCCGGTGCCCATCGTGCTCCCGAGCCCCTTCCCAGCCCCAAGCCAACCTCGCTCCTCCGGTGGCGGTCCTGGCGCCGGTCCTGATCCCGATCCCAGTCCTAATACGGAGCCCCATCCGCAGCCTCGCTCCACCAGTGCTGTCTCCGCTTAGCGAGTCGGTCCGTCCGCGCCCTGAGACGAGCATCCTCTGAACCAGCGGAGCGGGGCGGTTCTGCCGCTTTTGAGCGGCGCGGCCGGGGCGGGGCCGGGGCGGGGCGGGGCCCGCACAGGTGCGCGGGGAGGGGCCCGCACAGGTGCGCGGGGCGGGGACGGGCGGGGATGGCGGGTCGGGGCGGGGGTATTTAAGGGCTGGAACTCACCTCCGGGTGCCATTTGCTCGGGCAGTGCGCAGGAAGCAGCAACGCTGCAGGGGCCTTTCGCTGCTGTGGCTCTTTTCTTTACTTTGGTTTGTATAATTTGTTTTATTCCTAGTTTTTCTTTTATTCTTCCCCCTTTTTTTGTTCCCTCCCCAACCCGGTCCTCCCTTATATTCTGTCCCTGCCCGCAGAGCCACTCCGGCCTCCCCAACCTTCGTTCTTGTTCCTCTGTCCTCCACCCTCCCTGGCTCTCTCACCCTGCCTGGTTCTGTTCTCTCTCCGTCCTCTGCCGCACACCCCAGTCCTCTCTCCCCTGCTTTCTCCTTCTCCATCCTGGCTGTTCCCACACGCTGCCTCCCCCTGGTCCCAGTCACTGCCTTCTTGCACACCCCGGCCCCCCCCCCGGCTCCTCCGGCCTCCTCCTCCTCCCCTATCCCGGCTCTGCCACACACCCCAACCCCCTGTCCCCACCTCTGTTCCCCTTTTTCCTGTGCACACATTAATGCTTTTTGCTCCTTTTCTAAAGAAAGAATTAAGAGGGGAACTTGGGCAGCAGCTGAGCAATACTAAGTTACTCTGCAACCAGGTGAAGTGACTTGAAGCTTGTAAGGTGGTCACTTAGAACTTTGGGGGCTCCAGGCGTAGGTGACCAACAGAGACCCCTGATGGAGCCCCTCAGAGACCTGATGAGAGTTTGTGTGCACAGTAACAGGTGTTGGGAAATGTCCTGAATATGAAACAGGAATGCAGGAAACAAAATGAGCCCTCGTGTAATGCTGACCCCTCACATCAACTGCAGTGGAGACACCTCTGTGTGTAGACAGAGTTGTTTCTGTCGTGTGGGCCAGTGGAAAACAGGTGTGGCCTATGAAGGGCCAGGTTGGACAGTTGTCAAACAGGAGCAGAAGTGACTCTCCAGGTAGCCTAATATAAATATGAGAAGCAAAGTGGGCAAGTGCCTGCTGTGACTGCAGAGGCAGGGATAGGTTGGGATCACAAGAACTGGGGTGGGCATGCTTAGGATTGAGCTGCTTTAGAGCCTGGTTCAGAGGGTGAAGTGTTTGCTGAAGTACAGCCAATAACAGGAGAGAAAGTGGAAGGTGACCCCGATGGTTATCCCATCAGGCCTGATGTGGTGGAGGATTTTACTCAGACTGAACTTCCTGGTGTTATGGAGAGGTTTAAAGTAAAGGCCAGAGAGTCTGTGATCTCCTGGACAGTTGGGCTGCATGACCTGGGAGCCTCTGGGATCAGATTGGACTGGGCAGACAGGGAGCAGTTTGTCCCATGGAGCTGGGCTGGGTTTGTTCAGGATGCCTTCGGAGGCAGGGCTGGAGAGGCTCCTTTGTTGGCTGTAGTGGTGGAAGGTTGTCCCAGGAGGGCTGGAGCCCTTCGACCTCCTGCTCCCCCCGTGAGCCCCGACGGGACCGTGCACTTGGCAATGGAGGGCCCCCCATTGCTGAGTCAGCGGTTCCGGGGGCCGGCAGGGATGGGATCAGGATGCCGAGCTCCAGCCCAGGCAGGGCAGGAAATGGTGCAGCCACTGAAAGAAGCGAAGGCAGAGTGAGGTGAAGGCCGAGCTCCAGCACAAGGGTGGGTGAGAAAAGCCCATGGCCCTCAGGTGGAGCTTTGAATTCCTTGGAAAAATGCATCTTGTCAAAGGGCTCAGGCCCTTGTGGGTGCTGGAGCGGAGGCCTCTTCAACTGATGGTCAGCCTAAAAAGGTGCAAGGACAGCAAGTTTTGAGGACAGGATGAGGTGGCAAACAAGGTGAAGTGGTACAGAGAAAAGCTGAGCTTCAGATTGGTCCTCTGCCACAGCAGCCTTGTGGAGTGCTTATTGCTGTGCCTGACTGTGGAAGGGCAGTGGATATTTCCAAGGGCTGCCTTGTGCTGAGGAACACTGGGGTCAGTTCCTTTTCCCTGGGCAGGGCAGGCAGGGCATGTTTACCTGGCCCCCTCGAGTGTGGCTTCGTAAGACTTGACCTGATCACCAAATGCAAAGAGTAAATAGAGGGGGTCCATTGGTGACCTTTGGGCATCAGGTAGAACAACTCACTGCTCACCTCTGGGGGGACATATTTACAGCATTCTCACCATCTGATAGGAAGTTTTCTGAACACTTTTTTTCATCCACTAATTATTCAATTATTCAAAAATATTCAATCCACTAATAGTAATTACACTGATTTTATGAACAATAGGGAGTTGTTGTCTATGGTATCAACTCCAGGAAGTTGTTTCTTGCACGCCTCTGTCCTGACCAGGGATCAAAGGACCAAAGGGAAAGGATGAGAAGTTCCCTGAGAGTTGCTGCCCAGGGGCTGCTGCCCCTGAGGAACAGGGTGAAGGCTGTCTGTGCTCAGGTGCCCTGGCTGAAGTGTGCAGTTGGTGTGAGTGTTGCTGCAGAAAGGCAGGCCAGGTGTGTGCAGCTGTTCTGTGCCCTCCACCCTCGTCCCTGCCGGGGCACCTGACCAGCGCTCCAGGGGTGGCCAACTTGGAGCTCACAAGAAGCTGCCCGTGCCCACGACCGGACAGTGCCAGGCTTGGCCTAAAGCCAGCTCTGTCGGTCAGAGTCTGGCCAGCGGGAGCCTCTTGTAGCCACCCCGCAGCCTTTCCTGTGGATGGATGCACCCGTAGGAATTGTGGCAGTTCCCGGAGACTGTGGGATCGGCTGCACTGGGGCTGCCCAGCTGCCCTGTGGGCTGGGGGTGGAGCGTGAGGGGGCCGTGGGGGAGAGATTTCTGCTTAGCCACAGTTCTGTCTCTCGGGGCAGTCAGGATTTGATGCCTTGCTCATTTTCTTTTTTATCCCATAAATCTCTATCTGATGTGTTGGATTGTCTTTGTTTAAACTGTTTCTATTATTCTATGACTGGTGAGTCGTTTCCTTGAGTGCCCTGCCTGTCAGCACAGCACCAGGTCTGTTCAGCAGCTGGAGACTGGGCAGGTTTGGGGGCTGTGGTGTCCCAGCTCCCTTTGCCATCCCTGCTGAAGGGTGGGAACTGCACAGAGCCAGCAGCGTCCAGCTGGAGGATCCAGGAGGATGCAGCTCTGCTGTTCTGGGAGGTAAGAGGTGGGGGTGCAGGAGCTGGAAGGGGTGTTCTCCAGGCAGAGGGAGGGAAGGAGCAGGGAGAACTGCAGCCCCCAGCAGCTTGGTCAGTGCTGGATGGACTCGGGGCTGGGAAAGGTCACTCAGTGTGAGGGCAGGTGAGAGCCCAGGGTGGCCCTGGCAGCCCTGGGGCTGGGAACAAGTCCAGTGGGCAAAGGAATGGACCCTGGAGAGCTGGGCAAACACTGGAGGAGTTTCAAGGAGAAGCAGGAAACTGGACAAGTTGCAGCAGCTCCTTCTGTGTGTGTGTGTGTAACCAGGTCTAGTGCAGCCACGAGTGAGGTGGGAAATGAACCTCAGCAGGCTGGGAATGAGTCCCACAAACTGGTTGCAATGGCATGGACTCTTCCCAAGTGTCTGAAAAGCTTTGCTTTAATTTGGCTTTATAAATTGAAAACTGAAGTGATTGTCAAGGTGTTGGCCCTTGCTGTCCGGTGTCTTTGGTGAGGTGTTGACTCAGTACATTTATTGGAGCTGCTGCTGGATGTCCCTAATTGACCTGTAAGGTCCTGGCTTTCTTTCCTGCTTCTCCCAGCTTGTCCATGCAAGAGATGGAATTCCAGTGCTACAGTATAGATGGCTTGTGGTGCTCCCAAAAGGAGCCTTTCTGCCTTCAGGACAAGTTCTGGTGCCACTGGAGCTGTTGGGAGAAGCGGAGGGTTGGCAGTGACAGACCTGGAATGCTGTTGCTGTGGCACAGACGCTGCTCCCTGGCAGGTTCTTGGGTTGGATTCCTTGGCTGCCACTTGGCAAGGCCTGGAAGGGCTTCAGTTGTGTAGGGAACAAAACATGGAATGGGAAAGCAAAGCAGGGGAGGTTCTGATTTCAGAGAGAGTCATTGAATTTTCTCTTTCTGCAGGGACACTGAGCTGGTCCAACTGTGGCAAGAAGAACAAGTGGGCCGTGAAGGTTTGGAGCATTCTGGAAGGTTCCTCGTGCCCAAAGGATCCTGGCAAGTGCAGCACTGGAAGAGTACAGAATAATGAAAAGTGCCTCAGTTCTTGTGAAGCTCAGCTTTGTAAAACAAGTCTCAAGACCAGACAAAATCCTCCAGCAGGGAGCTTGGCAGAAAAGGCCCTGTGAAGCAAAGCAGCATGAAAACCCAGAGCTGCTTGTGGATGGCAGGTGAAACTTGGAGCCCTCCCAGGTAAAGGTGTCTGATCCCCACAATCCTCTTTGTGTCCTCTGCCAGCAGCTGCCCTTGGTCTTTCTTGTGGTTTGCAGGTTGTAAAAAGAGCCTTGGGAATTGGCTTCTGGGAACAGGAATCCGTTTCCTGATGGGAGTCCTTGAAATAGAAGTGAGTCTCCGTGGGAAATGGCTACAGGAGTGCTGGGGCTGGAGAGTCCACAGTGAGTATGTTTTGAGTGTCCTGCCCAAATCCTGTCCTGTCCCCAGCGATGCCAGGAGCCTGCAGCCTTGGAAAACACATATGCCTGGGCTGCAGCTCCCAAGGGACGATGCAGGGATTCAGCACGTGCCCTTGTGCAGTCCAAAGAAAGGGAGTTTTATTGCATTCCCAGGAACTGCTCCAACAGCTGTGGACTTGCCCCTGCCTTCTCAGGGTAAGGATGCGGTGACAGCAAGAAGGCTGTTGGTGGGATTGGAGGGCACTTGCTGCATGTTGGTCAGATGTGTAACCTGTGGAATGGGTGTGTTTCCTGGGAGAAAACATTCTGGAGTGGCAGAATGGTTGCCACAGACACCACGTGAGTGCCACACCACGGCGTGAGCCTTCAGGCCCTGCGAGTCCTCACCCAGACTTGGTGAAGTGTTGAAGTGTGAACTGATTGCTGGGAGTAAGGATGTGTCTGGTAAGTGGCAGTGCTGCCCATTGAGCCTTCCCCTGAGTTCCTTGGTACTCCAGGTAATCACAGCTCACCTTGGCTTTTCTGGGGCAGAAAATGCCCCTGCTGCTGGGGCTGCAGTGTCTGTGGTGCCTGGGGGCTGGGCAGGACTTGGCCCTGCTGCCTGCATGCTCTGCAGCGCCCAGGGAGGGATCCCAGAGGTCACCCCCCTGCGTGCTGTGCTGCACAGCAGGAGCTGGGTTTGCTTGCTGGGTGAGCCTGGGGGAGCCCGTGGTGGGGCTGAGGGGCTGCTGCTCTCTGGGGGTCTCTGGGCTTGCCTTAGAATGCCAAAGCCTCTGCCTGCATGGAGGGAGACAAAGGTGACTCTAAATTGTTTTTTTGTTGAGTGTTTTGGTGCTGATTTTGTCCTTTTGGCTTGTTCTGTGTCCATTCCCAGCCTCAGTCAGGGCTTCCTGTGGAATGTTGGTGCTGCTGCTGCCGGGAGAGAGAAATCCATTGGGAAGCTGGGATACAAACAGCAACTCTGTGAATTACTCAGCTTCTCCTAGGTAGGAGCAGGCTTTAGAGAAGAAAGGCCTGTAGTGAGTAATCAGAAGAGAAGGTGAAAACCAAGAGCCTTTGACTTCCCCAGTGCACTTCATTATTCGTTCTCCTCTCTTTCAGGACAAGGAATTCACTGACTTGGGTCCAGCTCTGCCAATGCCTCGTGGTGTGAGCAACCAAAGGTAAGAGGTTCCAGCCCCACCAGCTGTTCTGGGGGCTCCTGGTGCTGCCAGTCTGGGGTTCCTGGGCACTTCCCATTAAATGATACCATGAGAATAATTTTGGACTGAAAGGGGAAAGGAGCGGTGTCTGTGAGAGTTCAGGTGTCCATGACAAAAGCTTTCTGCTTTTTCAATCAGTAAGGTCTTCAAATGTCTTACAGTGTGTAGGAATGCCTGGCTTCTAAAACTCACCAGCTGAGTCTTAGAGGCTTCTTTGCCGAGCTGTTTTGAGGCAGCCAAATTGGCCCCAGGCAGGGACTCTGAGCCTGCTCTCCTGGTGTTCCGAGGGATCTCTGGGCCTTCACGCCGGCACCGAGATGTTCTCGGGAAGGCCCTCAGATCCCCGGAGCAGTCCGGGACACGGGCAAGATCCCCCTGCATTTCGGAGGCAGATTGGGCCCCCCTGGAGGGACAGTGCTGTTGCTGCCCCCCGGGCTGGGACACTCGGAGAACTCCAGCGCGCACCGAAATTGTTCGTCGGGGAGCTCCTCTGGGTGCCCCAAGCTGGGGAGCTCAAAGCAAGGTCCCTGGAATGGATTCAGGCATTGCTGAGAGTATCAGAGGTGTAGCTGTCTGTCCTGGCCATGGAGCTCTTTCATTGGCCGTAATTGGGTTATAAAAGCGGTGCTCTGACTGTAAAAGGAGTGTGGGATTGGAATGAAGGAATGAGTGGTGATGGTACCTTGGCTGTTTTCTCTTGAATGCAGTTGTGAGAGCTGCAGGAGTGCAAGGTGTGGGTTCCAGTCCCCACCGTTTGGTTTGCACGTGTCCTGGTCAGACACAGGTCCAGCTTCCTCAGCCCTTAACACGAGAGGGAGAATTCAGGAATGACGCTGTGAGGGTCTGTGGCGTGACAGGGATTAAAGTGGGAAAACCTTGGATAATTCGTCAGTTTGTCTATTTGCAAGCATTCCTAAGCTTTTCCTAGGAAGAGATTGATTGGATAAGTTGAGGCAGGTATTAAATTGAACAAGGGGGAGATGATTGAAATGGTAGTTGCTGAAACTAACTGTGTGAGAGCAGCAGCTCTTCTCGTGCAGGAAATAACTCCTGTCAGCAGCACCGTCCCGACTGAAGCGGCACATGGAGCTGTTCCTGTGGTGTGGGCCAGTGGAATTCCAGGAGAATGGACAAGGGCAGACCCTGTAGGTATTACCATGAAGCTGAGATCTCTCTAGGTAAGGCAACCCCAGGATCCTTTAAAATCACAGTGCCAGAATGCATTGGTTGCAGTAACAGCTAAATTTGCTCATTGTGCTTTGCTTCCAGAATGTGACTGCAAGAACCTGCAAAGAAACCCAGTGGCAAAGAGGATGGATCAGTGCAGGACGTGAGAGAAGCACCTGAAATGACAACGTTGAGCAGCTGACAGTCTTAGATTTCAAGATGCCCTTTGCTGCATCTCCTGGAGCAAGGCAAGCCAAGAAACCTTTGCTTTTGAAGGAGAAAATGCAGAAATGGGGAAGGAAGACAAGAAGCCACCTGAGTCCTCCCTGAGCCACAGGCAGTCCATGAAGTGCCTTCCTGGGAACGGTAGGACAGTGAGGACTCTAGATTGCTCCCTATGGATGGGTGGTAAGACTGATGCAAACTTTTGAAAGCCCCTGTAAGAGTTTCCTGCCTTGGATAGATGGTGCAAGGGCAGCCTTTAGGCAGCCTTTTTCCCAGTTAGCCCTGGAAGGAGGACAGTGATAGCTTTTTAGTGCTAGTAGATACTCTGAGTAGATGGCCGTAAGTCTGTCCTTGTTGCACCAGGAGGCCTTATCAACTCCCCATATTGCAGGAGCTATTCCCATGAAAGCAAAAACGATCCTCATCATTCTTTGCTGCTTTTAGGATCTGCCCTGCAGAAACTCCCGGAATTGACGTTGACACCCCGGCCGATGGATTGGACGCCCCAGCCCGTCCGTTCCTGCCCAGCCGCTGGGTCCCTGTCAGGCGGTGGGACTCCCAGCCTGTCCAGGTGAAGTGGAAAGGGCCTTTGCAGGCCTGGTTGATCCCATTTCTAGCAGTTCAAGTTGCAGAAAAGAGACCTTGGGCACCCTATTTTTGAGTTGGGGAAGCTCCTTTGGATTCCAGCGGAACAAACTGGATCCTTCCAAGTTATCATCCGTGTTTGTCCCTCAGCCTGTGTTAGGATTCAGGGCTGTAGCTGTTGTAGTCCCTCAGGAGTCCAACTGTGCTTTAAATAAGGAGACCTTGGCCTAATGGCCAAGTGTCAGGAAAAAAGGGGGGATGCTGTCTGAGTTTTGAGGTGTAACGAGTGCTGATACTTTTTGCAGGGGGCTGTGGCGTCGAAAGTGCCCAGAGCTGAGCCAGAGGATTGAAAGGGACTAACCCAGTGAGGTGAAGAAACAAGGAAGAAGGGAAGTGAGGCAGCAGCCAAGCAGCACCAAGTTCCTCTGTCAGCAGGTGAGTTGTCTTGAGGCTCCTAAGGCAGGCACTCGGGACTTTGGGGGCTCCAGACAGAGAAGACCTCGAAGGTCCCTTGATGAAGCCCCTCAGAAACCTTATCAGGGTAGGTGTGTATGGTTGTAAGTGCTGGGGAACGTCCTGAGCGTGGAACAGGAATGCAGGGAACAAAATGAACCCTCAGGGAATGCTGAGCTGCAGCGGAGGCACCTCTGTGTGCACTGTGGGAGCTGATGGCCAGGGCCCCCGGTGGGCTGGGATCAGTGCAGGGTGTTGTCAGCAAGGAATGCCTGGCTTCTAAAACTCACCAGCTGAGTCTTAGAGGCTTCTTTGCCAAGCTGTTTTCAGGCAGCCAAATTGGCCCCAGGCAGGGACTCTGCGCCTGCTCTCCTGGTGTTCCCAGGGATCTCTGGGCCTTCACGCCGGCACCGAGATGTTCTTGGGAAGGCCCTCAGATCCCCGGAGCAGTCTGGGACACGGGCAAGATGCCCCTGCATTTCGGGGGCAGATTGGGCCCCCCTGGAGGGACAGTGCTGTTGCTGCCCCCCGGGCTGGGACACTCGGAGAACTCCAGCGCGCACCGAAATTGTTCTTCGGGGATCTCCTCTGGGTGCCCCAAGCTGGGGAGCTGAAAGCAAGGTCCCTGGAATGGATTCAGGCATTCCTGAGAGTATCAGAGGTGTAGCTGTGTGTCCTGGCCATGGAGCTCTGGAATGGACTGTAACTGGGTTCTAAAAGTGGTGCTCCAACTGTAAAAGGACTCTGGGATTGGAATTAAGGAATGAGTGGTGATGGTACCGTTGGCTGTTTTCTCTTGAATGCACTTGTGAGAGCTGTAGGATTGCAAGGTGTGGGTTCCAGTCCCCACTGTTTGGTTTGCACGTGTCCTGGTCAGACACAGGTCCAACTTCCTTAAACCTTAAGAGAGGCAGAATTAAGGACTGGCTTAATTAACCAATTATTAACCAATCACTGTTACGGTGATGGATGTGACAGGAGTTTAAGTGGGAAAACAAGGAGTAATTCCTCAGTGTGTTTATCTGCAAGCTCCCGTAAACCTTTGCTAGGAAGAGACTTAGTGGAAAAGTTGAGGCAGAAATCAAATTGGAAAATGAGGGGATAGAAATTGTAATTCCTGAAACTAACTGTTTGTAGAGAGAGAGCAGCAGCTCTCTCGTGCAGGAAATAACTCCTGTCAGCAGCACTGTTTGAAGCCCCTTTGTTTGGGAGGGAAAACAAAGGACAAGGTGTGCAGAGAGCTTTGAGATACTTGGAATAGATGGCCATAAGTCTGTCCTTCTTGCACCAGGAGGCCTTATCAACTCCCCCTATTGCAGGAGCTATTCCCATGAAAGCAAAAACGATCCTCATAATTCTTTGCTGCCTTTAGGATGTGCCCTGCAGAAACTCCCGGAATTGACGGTGACGCCCCGGCCGATGGATTGGACGCCCCAGCCCGTCCATTCCTGCTCAGGTGTTGGGTCCCTGTCAGGCAGTGGGACTCCCAGCCTGTCTAGGTGAAGTGGAAAGGGCCTTTGCAGGCCTGGCTGATCCCATTTCTAGCACTTCAAGCGGCAGAAAAGGGACCTTGGCCATCTTTATCTTAGGTTTGGAAACCTCCTTGGGATTGGTCAGCAGAACAAACTGGATCCTTCCAATTCTCATCTGTGTTTGTCCCTCAGCCTGTGTTAGGATTCAGGGCTGTAGCTGTTGTAGTCCCTGAGGAGTCCAACTGTGCTTTAAATAAGGAGACCTTGGGGTAATGGCCAAGTGTCAGGAAAAAAGGGGGGATGCTGTCTGAGTTTTGAGGTGTAACAAGAGCTGATACTTTTTGCAGTGGGCTGTAGCGTGGAAACTGCCCAGAACCAGAGGATTGAAAGGGACTAACCCAGCGAGGTGAAGAAAGAAGGAAGAAGGGAAGTGAGGCAGCAGCCAAGCAGCACCAAGTTCCTCTGTCAGCAGGTGAGTTGTCTTGAGGTTCCTAAGGCAGACACTCGGGACTTTGGATGCTCCAGACAGAGAAGACCTCGAAGGCCCCTTGATGAAGCCCCTCAGAAACCTTATCAGGGTAAGTGTGTATGGTTGTAAGTGCTGGGGAACGTCCTGAGCGTGGAACAGGAACGCAGGGAACAAAATGAACCCTCACGGAATGCTGAGTCCTCCCATCAGCTGCAGCGGAGGCACCTCTGTGTGCACTGTGGGAGCTGATGGCCAGGGCCCCCAGTGGGCTGGGATCAGTGCAGGGTCTTGTCAGCAAGGAATGCCTGGCTTCTAAAACAAGCTGAGTCCTAGAGGCTTCTTTGCCAAGCTGTTTTGAGGCAGCCAAATTGGCCCCAGGCAGGGACTCTGCGCCTGCTATCCTGGTGTGCCCAGGGATCTCTGGGCCTTCACGCCGGCACCGAGATGTTCTCGGGAAGGCCCTCAGATCCCCGGAGCAGTCTGGGACACGGGCAAGATCCCCCTGCATTTCGGGGGAGATTGGGCCCCCCTGGAGGGACAGTGCTGTTGCTGCCCCCCGGGCTGGGACACTCGGAGAACTCCGGCGCGCACCGAAATTGTTCTTCGGGGAGCTCCTCCGGGTGCCCCAAGCTGGGGAGCTGAAAGCAAGGTCCCTGGAATGGATTCAGGCATTGCTGAGAGTATCAGAGGTGTAGCTGTCTGTCCTGGCCACGCAGCTCTGGAATGGACTGTAACTGGGTTCTAAAAGTGGTGCTCCAACTGT